GTGTGTGTGTGTGTGTGTATGTGTGCATTTCTTTGTGGGTCAAGGTTCCATCTCGGCAGAAGTTTGTGTGCAAATAAGCAGATTCGCTCCTTCTTTGTGGCTCCCTTTTATCCACCCCAAATTTCCCCAGTCACCTGTCCCTGGAGTGCATGGCCCCATGCACGATTTCAGTTTAAGTCTGAAAGATCTAGCAATCCCACCCGCTCCACTATGGGCCACACCCCCCGATGCTCTCAGGTACCACTTCTTAGGGCACAGCAAACAGGCCCTTGGGCGCCCTCTGGTGTCCACTCTAAGAAAGCATCCCAGGGTGGCATACTCTTCTCTGTCCATTAACAAGACCCTTGGCTTTGGCTGTGTACATCATTTCCTCCAGTTCTAAGCTCGAGCACCCAGGGCCTTCAGCCTACCTGAAAGTCATCCTCTTTACACTCATCTCTCCACAAATCTTGGGAGCTGAGTTACTAGCCAAAGTCAACAACAAATACAAATAAATGGAAATGGCCCCCAGCATGTTTCCCTAAGGGCTTCCCTGGTTGCTCAGAGGGTGACTGAACTCTTTTCTGGTGGTGTCCAGTTGCTGGGATGTGGAGTGACCCAGGCCCATGGGCTCAGACAAGTCAGAAATCCCAAGACTTCAGTGGTCCCAATACTTCACTTCAGGGGCTTAGACACCAAACCTCACTGAGCACAGCTCTCAGCTACAGCCACATTGTACCAAAATCTCCCATGCCATAGTCACAGGATTCCAGTGTGATGTCCATTTCACTCTAGAACACTCCAGGGATGAGGCGCTCACTACCCTCCCAGAGAGTCCCAGATGGTCCATGTCAGCCACTCCATCCGGTGACCCACGTGGACAGGTGGTGGAATACATGAGAAGGAACACCTGACTTGGCTCTGGTTCTAGCGCTGGTTTCTCCGATGACTCAGATGATAAACAAACTGCCTGCTATGTGGGAGACCCGGCTTTGATCCCTGGGTCAGGAAGATCCCCTGAAGAAGGGAATGGCAATCCACTCCAGTATTCTTGCCTAGAGCATTCCATGGACAAAGGAGCCTGGCGGGCTACAGTCTGTGGGATCACTAAGAGTCAGACACGACTGAGCGACTAACACACAGGCTAGCACTGACTACTTGTGTGACCCTGGCCATGGCTTTATCCTCCCTTGGTGGAAAGCGTTGACGCAGAGCCTCTGGGGCCAGGCAGTTTGGAGCATCTAGGTCTCAGAGCCTGAGCGCTGGCTCTAAAGTCTCTGGTTCTAAAAGAATCAGGGCCCTGACACTGTGTGTGTGTGCAGTGGAAGGCCCCAAGGGTATCGGGATCAGCTGGCTCCCAAGGTATGGGGAGCTGTCTGCTCCCGGGTCCAGGCCACTGCTGGAGTCCTAAGCTAGCCAGTCCTAAGCCTGCTTACCCTGCTCACTCGGTCCTTCCCTCGGGAACCACAAAGAAGGCTCTTGTTAACGTGTCCCCCTTTCTCCCTCTGCCTCCTGATTGACCGGAATGCTTCTCCACCTGGTCCTGCTCCCCTCCTCCTGGGAACTGTAACAAACTATGTTTTCAGTGGCAACTGTCTCCTGATCTGTTGGCCTCATCATCCCTGAATAATAATAAAAGCTACATTTTATTTTATTTTTTTCTTTATTGTTCTTTCCATCACCAGTCACATCCACAGCTGAGCACTGTTTTCACTAAAGCTACATTTTAAAACATCCACCCAGTCCTGGGGCTTCAGGGAGGGCTCCTTGGAGGAAGTGACATTAAGGATGAGCCTGAAGGGGGGTAGGAATTAGCTGAGAGACACAATGATGAGGCAGGGGTGTCGCAGGTGGAGGGAACAGCACCTGCTGGGCTGGAGTGGAGGAGAATGTCCATGTCGTCTGACTGCAGGAAAGGGTGGGAACAGGGACTGGGACATCAGAAAGTGAGCAGGGTCCAGGTCTCCCAGGGCTTTGAGGGGCCGAAGAATCTGGGTTTTGTCTAGTCCTACCACTTTTGATCTCCAGGTTGTTTTCCCCAACTCCTAATAAACCCAAGGGCTTCCCAGTGGCTCAGTCATAAAGAATTCACCTGCAATGCAGGAGACGCGAGTTCACACCCTGGGTGGGAAAGATCCCCTGGGGAAGGGGATGGCTACTCACTCCAGTATTCTTGCCTGGGAGATCCCATGGATAGAGAAGCCTGGTGAGCTAGTCTATGGGGTCACTAAAGATCGGATACAACTTAGGGACTAAACAACAAACTGCCCAAAAGACTGACTTGTGAACTCTCCAGATTCTGCCGTTGCTGTTCCAGGAAACCCAGAAGCCTGGTTGGGGGCCACCAGCCTGGGGAGGCGCCACGGGTCCACCGACTGCAGAGGGAAACACACAAGAGGCCAGAAGAGCAAAGCCACTCAGGTCAGCCCAACAGCGCGCGCGGGGCTTCCCACCCGTTGAAATTCATCGTCTGTAAAAAAAACAATAGTGGAGCCAGCCCAGACTCAAGGCAGAGCCACCAATCAGACGAATGAAAGAATGGACGTGAGGACCACGGTAAGCATCAGAGAGCATCCCCTATCCCCACTCCTCTCCCAGCCACTTCCTGTCCTACCTCCCGGGGAAGGCTCTGTTGCCCTGGGGAAAAGCAAAGGACTTTGCAGTCACCGAGGATCCGGAATTCAGCCTCCTGGCTGAGTGACTGTCAAGTCCCTGGGGTTTTTAACCTCTCTGAGCCTCTGTTTCCTTCTTGTAAAATGGAAATAAAAATAGTTCTCACACACCAGTATATTTCGAGGGTGAAATGAGCTAGAGAATGCTTATTTCGAGGGTGCCCCCCTGCGTGCGCACGCGTCAACATCCTTCCACCTGCCCGGAGCCCTGCGCATGCGCACACCTCCACCCCGGCCGCGCAGGGACACCCGCCTTGTCCTGCTCAATGTTTCAAATGCAACGTCCTGGAAAGCAGAGGCTTTGCTGAGAAACCTCGGCATCCCACAAGGGCCAAGGAGTTCGTTAAAGGAGCTGGTCGGGCAGTCGAGCCGCCCTGTCTGGGTCAGTCACCTCCAATGCGGAGCAAAGTCCTGCTTCCCGGAGCCTTCCCCCAGATTCACCCGTTCCTACCTGCCGCTTCTTTCTTCCCGACTCAGAAGCCTGGAATGGGAGGGGCGTCGGCAGGGGGTGCTTCCTGGCATGGCCTCGGGCCCCTCAGATCTCACATCTAAGAGGCAAGTCCCCAGAAACATGCCCCCTCCATTGCCAGTGACCCCTCCCTCTTTTCTCTACACCCCCCATGCCCCATCCTCAGAAGGTAATTTTAGTATCTCCCTAAAGTCACCCATGAGAGCCCCAAAATGAGCTCTCAGAAAAGAAAAATGATGCGAGCTCAAGCCGTCAACTGATTTGGCAAATTAAAGTTATAAAAGATGCTGAGATCTCAAAGGTTGCGAAGCCAGGAGGTCAGGTGCCAGCTTCTCCTGTTCCTCCAGCAAAGCCAAGTAACTTAAATGGTCCTCAGTGGCCAGAACCTGGGTGAACATTTGCAAGCATAGGTGGCATTATATGAGGCTCTCCAGGTGGTGCTAATGGTAAAGAACCCGCCTGCCAATGCAAGAAATGCAGGTTCAATCCCTGGGTCGGAAAGATCCCCTGGAGGAGGGCACGGCAGCCCACTCCAGTATTCTTGCCTGGAGAATCCCATGGACACAGGAGCCTGGCAGGCCACAGTCCACATCTGTTGCAAACAGCTGGACACGACTAAAGCAACTTGGCACATGCATGTGGCATTATATACACTGAGTGTAGGGAAAAAGTGGCTGATCCCAACCCACAGGGGTCCCTGAGGCCAGGCACTGCCCACGGTGGCCCTGTGGGCAGGTATAGTGAGGTGGCTGAGCTCGAGGGTAGCCTTGGACTTCTGGCCTCCAGAACTGTGAGAGGATAAACTTCTGTTATTTAAGCTGTGAAGTGATTTGTGTCGGCCATCCTGGGAAACTGGGCACCTCCCCCAACCCTCTACTCCCCGTATATACCAACCCTCCAAACCGGGGTCCCTGGGAAGGTCAGGAGAAATTAGAGAATCTAACTGCCAATATCCCTCGTTTAATCTCCAAAGTGGCCTAATTATCTGCCACCCATGGTGAATTGCCCACCTTGTCCTATCCCCCTGGACAGGAATGGACATTTCAGGGTTGATCTGCAGAGACTAAAGGAATGAGCAGGAAGAGTGACAGCCTGCTGCTTCTTTGAGCCAATAAAGGGAAATAGACTTTGCCCCCTAAAATCAAAGAGAATTTGTAAAAACAAAGTCCAAGCTAATTTAATATACTCACTTAATTATTTAAGTAGCAAGTCAATATTTCTCAATTACTCCATCTTACAAACACAGTCATGATAACAAAGGAAACGTTATTTAAATCTGTGGCCAAAAAAGTGAGCCCAGATAGAAAAGAGAGCGAAAGGCTACATCTGATATGACTTAACAAAGGCGAGGAAAGATCCAACCTTTTCCAGAAAATAAATCATAGCCACACTTATTGCCAAGATCCAAAGAAAAAAATTTATTTACAATAGAGAATTTTATTTGAAACATGCATTTTTCTTTTTTTTTTTAAACAAATCAGCAAATGCAGATCAAGTTTACACTCTTTAAGGCAAGAGTCCCTTTGCAAGCTGTACATGATCATATTAAATCCAAAAGCCGCTCACCCTGGAAACTCATGTACAAAGGGCAAGGCCAAGGTCAGCGATTTGTCTTTTATTAGAGAATCAGACAATCTCCCTGATACAGGAACTCTGAGGTCAACTTGCTATGAATTATACTAGGAAAATGCAAACCAATAGCAAGAAATTCTGATAGTCTCCTTAGTACTGCATACAATCAAATCAACTTTATTTAGAAAGGAAATACAGTAGTGCATACGAAAAAGTGAAAACAGAACCTGTCCACATAACCGGAGGGACAGCAGTGTGCCGACGGTCATATTGCACGCAACGGTCAAGTCCAAACTTTTGGTTCAGAGTTAGCTTTTCCCCATTTTGGCAATCAGTTCATCACAAATCTTGGTGAGTTCTTCTATCTCTTTATTCTGCAAGTGAAGACAAAAAAAAGAGGTTGCTGAAATGTCCTGGTTGTTGGAAATGAAGCCAATGACAATGGTCACTGGGCTTTTTTGTGTCCTCCGGGCTGATTGGTCTCCCTGAGGATATCTAAAGCAGCATGAGAAATGACCTGGAGCCAAGTCATCTGTGCATCTCAGCTCTAGCTGTGTGACCTTGGGCACGTTACACAACCTCTCTGAGCCTCGAGTTTCCTTATCTCAAAAGTGTAGATGATAACATCCTTCTCTCTCAGAATTAAGTGAGGTAAGAAATGTCAAGCTCCCTAGCACAGTGACCAGCTCAGAGTAATGGTTTAACCAGCATTCATCGTCTTCTGCTTATTTGCCTCCAAGGATGTGGGCATAAAAGGGTGGTCTGCAGTGAGCTCTTTGGTGGGTATTTTTGAGAAATGCCACCGGAAGGGTTAATCAATTCTACTTGGATGGGACCCCTAGCATTATTCAGAGGATGCCAAGTGAGGCGGTGCTGTGGATACAGGGCGTGTGGAGAAGAGGGCAGGCACAGGACATCTTCAGGGGCTTCTCGGGCCACACCTTGCCCATCCTCTGAAGCCCCATCACGAGGAGCCAACCACGTGTTCATCTCACACCAGAGATCTTCAGCACTGTCTGTTCTCCAGCAATGGGCATCCAACAGGGTGGCACCTCCATCCGGACGGTGGTGGCTTTGCTCAGATGGACTAAATGCCATGCCTGATGCCACTCTGGCTCAGCAGCCAGTCTTGACGGGTCCTCTCCTATGGGGCAAGACCTTTCTGTATCCCCAGAATATGGTGCAGCCAGCTTTCCCTTGAGGTCCCCGTGGAAGGCGACTCTTAAGTCACAAGGCTGTGTTCTGAGACTGCATGGAGGCCCTTCTCTAGAAAGCTCTGGGCCTCCTAAGACACAGTCCAGCTGGGAGCCACATGCCCTGGGTACCTGGGTTGGGCTCCAGGTGCCACTCATCGCTGAGCTGGTGCTCCGGAGAAATCCAGCCTCCTTAGCAGAGGAGGTTCAGTCCCAGTTGCAGCTGCAGATTCAGTCCTGCCTCCAGTCCCCACGAGGAGACAGCTCTGCCAGGAATATCACCTCGACCCACCTCCTGCCTAAAGTCCTGGGAAGCACTGAAATGCCTGCTGGGGGATGGGTTCTGCATGGGATGCAGGACAAGCCACTGATCCTGGAATTCCTGTTATCACCGCTCGGGCTGCTCGCAGTGATGTTTCATCTTATTGGAGCACTTTTAGCACATGCCTGTCACCGTGCAAACCCAGTGCAGGCCCTGGATTGCGCCCCGTTCTCACCATAATCTCTTAACATAAACCATTATCCCGCTACTTTTCAGTGAGGAGACAGGCTCAGAGAGGTTAAGCGTTGTGCATGAGGTCACACAGTTGCTCAGACATAGCAAAGCTGAAACACAAATTCCGGTCGGCCTGGTTCCCATACAGCTTGGCTATTTCACATGTTAGGCACAACGCCTAGTGACGGATGGCGCAGGGGCACGACCAGACCCACTAGCTGTGGATTCTTGAAGGTTCTCCAAGCTCTATCCTGGCACCGTCAGCCACCAGCCAGGAACCTGCCCTATCACGGAGCTCAGCTCACCAGGCAGAAGTCCCAGATCCTTTATCAAGCCCCAGCTGGGCGAAATGCCCAATGTCTTCACCTAAGAGCTGCCTGGGGTGGGAGATGGGGGGCATAATACTTCTGAATCTCTTGAAAACAGAGACCACCCCCTCCGTATCACTTGGAGCCCTTTAGGGAAGAACTCATGTGGTTGACCCACTCCTCCTGAGTTTTAGTTTAAGACAAAATTATGTTTGCAGATACATTTTTCCCCCCCTATTATCCAAATCGGTGCAAAGCTTACTTGCTTTCTTCCTTGTCTTCTAGTTGGCCAGAAAACCTAATATCCATCACCTTCACTTTGCAACTATAATCATCTGAACAGGCCAGGTGCCTTGAAAGCATCCCTCCTGACTCTGGTTTTAGCTCTGCTGTCCTACCTAACATCATGATGTGATTTAAACACCATCATACCCTGATGGAAACAGGAGGGAATAACTTCACACCTTCAAGATCTGGTTTAGTTCCCCAGCATTACAAACCTAGAAACCACAGTGAAGTGCCAGGCCTGTCAGGATGGACGGCAGGGAGGTGTGGGGACATGAATCTCCTGAGTTCTGAGCTCCTTCCCCAAGACCATGTAGGGGATGTCAGAGGTAGTAGATACCCTGCCCACCTCTGCCCACTGCAGAGGTTAGTACTGCTTGGCCCAGAACCCCTGGGGCCCAGCCAGTCACACTGGAAGCCGGGTGGGTGCTTCGAGAGGAGCAGAAATCATTGGGAGACAAACTGGACTCCTGATGCCACCTGCCTTTAAAGCACCCCCACCAATGCCCATCAAGACCCCAGTGCATGAGCAGCGCTGTTACCCCTGGCCACTGGGCCCTCGATGACCATCCTGGGGCTCAGTAACTCAACCAGAATGGGGGTTCATGTCTGGAAACCCAGGGAGGGAGCCTGCCTGGCTCACACTCACTCAGAATCAGCCTCACGGCTCTCCTGGGTGGGAGAGGCTTCTCTGTAGGACAATCAGGGAGTGAGTGTGTAAGGGAAACCAAGTCCTTGACTGGAAATCAGAAAATCTGGTCACAAGCTGAGAAACCTCAAGAGGATCCTCCTCCAATCCACAGAAGTAGGAGGGCACCTGGGGGGCCTTTCTGACCCTGACTCTGCCCATGTTCTGCAGGTGTCTCTGCCCAGGGTGTTGCCTGGTGGGCACCATCCTGCTCGCTGGGAGCAAAGGTTAAAGCACTATGCCTGGCACACCACAGTTGCTGAGCAAACATTTGATAAATGAACGGATGTTGAAAAGGAATGGAAAATGAGTTTCAGGGAAGGCAGAAAGGGAGCCAGTCTCAGGGCTGGGTTAACCTGGATCTTCCCGGGGGAGAGCAAGGCCGCGCCCGTGAGCATCAACCTGCCCCAGCAGTGCCTGGCATGTGGCCCAGAGTGCGAGGCCCGGCTGTGTGTGTCTGAGCCTCTGGCCAGCCCCGCCCGCTTGGAGGCAGCGACCCCAGCCTGCTACCTTCTGCTCCAGCGTTCTCTCCAGAGCGTCCACTCGCAGCTGCTCCTTCCGTAGGCTGGCCTGGTAGGCAGCCTGCTCCTGCTGGGCCTTTCCCCGGACTTGGGCGATCTCGGCATTGGCCCTGCAGGGATGGGTTGAGGGTGAGATTCGGAGATGATCACTCTTCCCTGGAGATGCCTCCCACCCTCTTCCTCCCCAGTCCGGGAACGTGTGCTTGCTCAGTCGCTTCAGTCGTGTCCGACTCTGCGACCCCATGGACTGTTGCCCGCCAGGCTCCTCTGTTCATGGGATTCTCTGGGCAAGAATACTGGAGTGGGTTGCCATGCCCTCCTCCAGGGGACCTTCCCGACCCAGGGATCAAAGCTGCATCTCTTATGTCTCCTTCATTGGGCAGGCAGGTTCTTTATCACTAGCGTCACCCGGGAAGCCCTTCAAACCTGGGCAGGGGAACCAACCATCTGGCTCCAGCTCCCTCCAACGGGGGTCTGAGCACAGGAGCCAACGAGAACCCCCCATCCCTGTGATGCCGAGATGCTTCCAGTGGGCACCCTGGAAATTGCAACACGCATCCCTCACTTATCAAGATGGATAGTGATGGAGAGTGCGTTATCTTAAACTGTATTGAAAAATGCAGCTGGATTATCCACTCAGCTGTGGGATTGGGATTGGGAATTATCCATTATCCCAAGGCGATGGCAGGGGTGCCCAGGGAGCTCCCAGCCAGCCTCGGCCAGGGCTGGCTACTGAGGGGCCCTTGGGAGCAGACTCCAGCGGCCTTACCTGTCTAGCTTCTCCTCCGCATGGACCTTCAGCGCCTGGTACCTCTGTTCTTCCTTCTTTACTCGAGACAGGTACTCTTGTGCACACTTCTTCAGCACCTCTTCATTCTGACGACCACAGAGCACGGGGGTCAAGCCCACAGAAGAAAATCCAAGGAGGGCTGGGGACCCCGAGGGCTCACGGATGTGGGTGTAATCCCTGACCGCCGAGTCCTACCCCCCGTTCGGCGAGGATGGCCTTCCAGAGCACCCCCACGGTGCTCCCAACCCGCCCCACCTCCCCAACCACGCAGATCTCGCCCTCCCCCAACCATGAACACCAACACACCTTGCGGAAGCCCTCCAGGACCTCCTTCATCTTCTCGTATCTCCTGAAGAGATCAGCCAGAGATTTCTCCACGGAGTTCAGGTCGGCCAGGGCTTGCTCCTTCTCCAGGACCAGCTGCTGGACGGTCTGGTGGGAGACCGACTTCTCCCTCTGTTCATCCTCTGGTGGGAGACACAGGGAACAAAATGATGGAGCCCACAGCTTCTGGACCAGGTCTCCGGGGCCAGCCGAGGCCTCGGGTGCAGCTCAAGTCTGACCTGTGGGCCATCTTGGATCTCGGCTTTCAGCTGAGACAGACCCGCTCCCTCAAGCCCCCCCAGACTCTGCCTCTGAAGGAACAAAATCCACAGCTCCAGCATCCCAGGCCTAGGCCCGGGCCACATTAGATGGGCAGGAAATGAACCAGTATCCTTTAACCTGATCACTGCAGCCCCTTAAACTAGCCCGGAGACCCTGCTGATTCTATCTGGTTGTTGACAGCATAAGGACCGATCCATACTGAATTTGGTGTTGACCCAGAATAAAATGTGCTGTAGATTGAGCTGTGAGGGAAGCTCATCCCCCTTCTTAAGCGTGATGAAGCTACAGAGATGGTCATAGGAAAAGAAAAAGGCTTCTTCATCCTTAAAACATCCCATGAACCCCAAGCCCACATAGCTGTGGCCCTGAATCCTGCTCCACACAAAAAGGGCCATTTCTTTTGATACGGCGGGTGTCTTCTTTAACTCCCAGGAAAATGGAGCTATTTCTGTCGGATTGACTTTCTCAGTTATGCACAAAACAATTAAATTCTGGCCCGGTCTGGAGCAGCTGATCCTGGTGGCAGGCTCTGCACGCCATCCTGTCATTGGTCTGCGTGGGCAAGGAGCCGCTTGCTCTGATCGGTCCGGAACTTTGCTGGCAGCAGAGAGTCAGTGGAGGGGGGCACCTCTGCTTGGAGCTCCTGTCCGTCCTCAGGTCACCTGGGAGGGGCCCCTGGGCCGGAGGATGGACAGCACCTGTCAACGATGACACCGCCATGGCAGAGCAGCGGCCCGTGTATACTGGGCTCCTGCACATGTCAGGCGCTGGGCTGACCGTCCTCTCGATTCAGGGCCCCTCGGCCAGCACCTGGCAGTTGGGCTGAGCTTCCAGAAGTCCAAACCGGGTCAACCCCTCCTTCCAGGGGCCCCCCTCTGCACTGGAATAACCCCCCACCCCACATGCTCTCAACACCGCTACGCCTCCGCTGGGAAAGCTGGCCTGGAGCCCCCCGTGGGCCCCACCTCACTCAGAGACACCTTTTCCGAACCCACGTGGGAAACACCTCGTCTGCATGCCCAGAATGGGTTTCCCTGGTGGCTCCATGATAAAAGAATCTGCCTGCCAATGCAGAAGCCACAGGTTCAATCCGTGGGTCAGGAAGATCCCCTGGAGTAGGAAATGGCAGCCCACTCCAGTATTCTTTTCTGGGAAACGCCATGGACAGAGGAGCCTGGCATGGGGCTCCACAGGGTGGCAAAAGAGTGGGGCATGGCAAAAAAAAAAAAAAAAAGAGTGAGGCATGGCTGAGCAACTGAGCACCCAGCACCACATCCGGCAGTGACCACTCCTTATCATCATACCAGACATGTGGGTATGCATGTGTTTGTATAGAGAATGCACGCTCCAGACATGTGGGTGTGCACGTGTTTGTATAGAGAATGCACGCTCCACGAGAGCAGGGTCCTGTGAGTCTGTTCTGTCCACGGCTCTGTCCCAGGCCCAGAACAGGGCCTGTGAGAACAGGACGCCGCAACACACGCCTGTTGTCGTGCAGTGAATGAATGAGCAGGGCGGCCCTGAGGCTGAACTCCAATCTCCCGCACAGGAGAAGCTTAGTCCCTTGTTCACTGAGGATGCAACAGAGCCAGAACCAGACCCAAGGCTGTGCTCGCAACTGGGTCTCTACGTGGGCCTCTTACTAATGCAACTGGAAGGATCAGTTCAGTTCAGTTCAGTCGCTCAGTCGTGTCCGACTCTTTAAGACCCCATGGACCACAGCATGCCAGGCCTCCCTGTCCATCACCAACTCCCAGGGTCTACTCAAACTCCTCTCCATTGAGTCGGTGATGCCATCCAACCATCTCATCCTCTCTCGCCCCCTTCTCCTCCTGCCTTCAATCTTTCCCAGCATCAGAGTCTTTTCAAACGAGTCAGCTCTTCGCATCAGGTGGCCGAAGTATTGGAGTTTTGGCTTCAACATCAGTCCTTCCAGTGGAAGGATGGAGCTCCCTTAAGAGTGGGGAGATGTTGCTTTGGGTTCCTTCCCCTTAGATTCTTGATAGATGGGCACCTTTCTGTATCCCGACGTCAGGCGTTTTCCTGTCTATGTGTGGACAGGAGTGAAGAACACACAACAGGGACCACATTGTGGTTTCGGCTCCAGCCCTGACTGTAAACTTGCTCAAAGACCTCACGTGAGGTCCCAGGGCCTCAGTTCCAAAATGAGGGGCTTTGCACATGTGAGCATGCACCCTGATCAGCTGGGAGCTTGTTCAAATGCAGGCGACTGAGCCCATCCAGCGGGGTCTGATTCGGTCATTCTGCGGTGGGACTGAGGATCTGCGCCTGTGACAAGGTCCCCAGCAATGCTGAGATGGCTGGTCCAGGGACCATGTCTGAAGAACCACAGGCCAGGAAGATGCCTGAGGTCCTGCCTCTTAGAGTTTCTCCTCCCAGGGCAGAGCTGAAGAACCAGGAGCCAGAGTCTGACAGCCCACGTCCCAATCCTAGCTCTAATAATTCCTGGCAGTGTGACCTTGGGCAGAGTTTTTCAGCTCTGTCCTCCACATCTGAAAACACGGGATGAGAGGATATATCTATGGCATTTGGGGAAGATTAAATATAAAGCCCTCAACATATAGTAAGAAGTCAGTATCAGCACTCCGTTATCAACAGCATCACCGTCTCATGGAACTGCTATGATGTCAAGTTGCAGGGACCCACGAAGGGGGAGCTTTTGAACATATAGTGAGACCAGAACCACCGACAATCTGCTTGCTACATCTAGACTCCTAAAAGAAAGGGCACTTCAAAGTTGCACTAGTAACCAAATGCTTGTTTTTATTCTTTGAATTTTAGCTGCTTCCTTAGTTCTCAGCAAGCTGTATAATACACATTCTGGGCTGGTTTCAGGCCACGTATACATTTCACTTGGCTTGGTAAAGGAGTTATTTATCAAACGGAACCCATCTGATTTCCTGGATCTGAGATTAGACTCCCTCAGGCTTCCTTTCCTCCCCCCCATAACCCTTGTAAAAACAGAATTTCCCTGTTCCCAGGAGACCGAAAAGGAGAGAATGCCTCACACGTCTTTTTTTGTAAATGACAAATGCTGCTAGGTTCTTCAAATCAGGAAATCAGCTCAAAACCCAAGATGTTCTAGACACAACAGTAAAACAATGGCCCTGGAGATTTTTTGGCTTTTTCAGGCAAAACACTGTAAAACCATGTGGGGAATGCAGCCAAAACGCAAAAGCAAAAGTAACAAAAGTAGAAAAACAAACAAATAAGGGTTGCAATGGGCGGGCGTCAAATTAGGTGAAAAAGCATTTACTTACCAGGCTCGCCTGTTTGATTTGCAAGCAAAGGGCAAGAAGCAACAGAAAATGGAAGCAAAACAGATAATCAGGGCAGTTGTTAGGAAAGCAGGGAAAAAAAAAAAAAATCAATTGCAACAACCTGGAATGCAGAAAGCACAGAAATCCTTTTTTGTTCTGAATTCGGAACAGTTGATATTTGAACTTAATGAAATATAGTCTCTTTAGTATCATATGATGAGAATGAACAGTGAAAGCAGGACAGATGTTACACTGACATAGAGCATTTGTAAAGGTTAAATGGAAGCCAGGGGGGCCAGGCGGGAACCAGGAAAGGCTAGTGGAGGTGGAGTGGAAGCTGGTTTTAACCTCAGAATGCTGTTACATTTATTCTGGGCCCTGAACTGCCCAGCTCTCTGGGTCTGAGTTTGCCCTTCCGTGAGGAATGCTGGGTGGGTGAGTGGGAACGAGGAGAAAGAGACAGGATCCAGATAAGAAACACGGGTGGGTTTCCTGCTCAGAAAGAAGGCAGGTCCCGCCCACAGCTACAGTGAGTCCCAGCTGTGCTGCAGCCCCACGTTGTCCTCGGCAAGGACGAGGACCCTGAAATCGACAGAGGCCCCAGTCGGCGACCTGCAGTAATGGCTAATGGATGACATGCAGGGACGGGCCACTGTGCTCCGAGGAGACCCGCTCTGGGAACGTGGATGATGAAGAGGACAGTGAGTGGCAATGGGGACACACAAAGGGGCGCCACCAGAGAGACAAAGCTGCTTCCAGCCAGGGATGTTGGGGGGCTGGCAGAGCCGCTGGGAGTGCGCCCAAGCACCCCCAAACAGGAAATCGCTCAAAGCGGGTGATCTTAGAGCTCTGAAGAGACGGACCCTCAGGCCAAACACACCAGGTCTCTTGGGAAGGGAGAGGGTTGGGCATGTGTGGCCTTAATCCCTGGAGTCAGGGTTCCACACGCTCCTCAGTTTGTCTAGAACTGAAACTGTTCTAACGACTATCACCTGCAGATACGCAGCAAGAAAAGCATCATAGGGGAATAAGCTTTCTGTCCCCACTTAGGGTGACCACGTAAGGACAGGCCACTTACGTCAACTAGAGATTCTGACTCTTGTCAGTTTTCAAGAGGGAAATGTCGGCTTCTATCAAATTGCCAGTTGAGCAAGTAAGTTAGGTTGCTGTGGGCAGCCTGCTGTCAGGGCGAAGGCTCAGGTTCTCTTCAACACTGGCCTAACCGTCATCATCAAGAATAAAAATAAAAATGTATGACTCCCAGGTGTGGAAGGACGTTTCTAGATGAGCCAGGTAGGTCTGAGTGATGCTTTCACATCCCAAGACTCCGGGAGGTGGAAAGGTCTCACTCAGCTCGCCAAACAGTGTATATTGGAAGATATAAATGCTTCCTTCTGACCACGTTCAGCAGCAGTTTCAGTTCCAAGAGTTTTTCTTTTAATCTCATCCATATGTATCCATAAATTCTTATGCCCATTTAACAAAGAGGTTTCATTTAATAGAAAGCATATACCATGAGGCGGATTCTCAAAAAAAGACCCCAGTGGGCTTTCCCCTGAGCTCTAGGAGAAATGGCTGTTATTAAAATAAACCAAAATGAAAGCTTTTTTGAAAAGAAAGCACTCAATAGGCAGCTTCTTCCATGTTCCCAAGGCTCCTGTCATGTTTATCTTGGGACAAAAGCTAGAGGTATGGTAGACTCATATGATGAGAAGTCATCAGTTGAAACAAGCATCAAGTTGGAACACAGAAACTGTGGTCTGCACTGAGCACATGTCCTTAGGAGTAAAAAAAAATTTAAATCCAGTATCATGGATGTAAGCGAATGAATAAATAAGCAAAAATTCCACACCTGAAAACCCCCCAAGTCTTAAAAGCATTTCTAAATAGTGATCATTAGTGAAAAATCTTGGGCTTGGCACTTTTGCAAGGTCTTTTCTTGATTTTTCTTCAAGAGCAGAAGAGCCAGTTACTTGAGGTCTGGTTACTTGAGGCCTTCTTTTATTGCAGGCCAAAGTAATCTGTCAGTACCGGCTGCCAGGGATGCTGTGTCAAGACAGATTCTGAGGCAGTATCCAACCTCAGGAAGAAACAGCAGTGATCAGTTAATAGGGGCAGGCAGCTGGGCTGTCACATGTTCTAATATTCCTTGTCCTGGACCCTGTGTAAAGGCCAGTGGGGTATTTTTTTTTTTTTTTTTTGCTTGCATCTAATCTATATTAGGGTTTAGCAATTTGATGTTAGAGATCTAATTCTCTCCCATGAGCAAAAAAGCCTGCAAACATCCTAGGAACCAACCCCAATCTTTTCATTAGGGTTGGGCCCCCATGAGGTGGGCTATCCTGGCTGGGTCAAATGGTGACCATCAAGGTGATGGCCATGGCTCCCCACTGCATACTAAGGGACATGCGGGCAGGTGTTTCTAGGAGGTCCCCAGATTCACTTGCCTGCGGCAGAGCCTCGTTCTGGGAGGCTCTGGTCCCTCCCCAAAGGGCTTCATGCGCTAAGAGAAGCCTGAGAGGAACACACTCTGGGTCTCTACCTTCAAAGCCCTCCCTAGAGTTCAGAAACCTCAGGGCGGGCCTGAGCCCCTGCCAGTGAAGACACTCACCTATCATCTGGGCAATGGTCTTCTCATACTCGGCCACGATTTTCCTGCAAGAGAAGTGGAAACAGGCTGGTACTGGGACCACACAATGGTTTTTACTTTCACGCAGGTGTCCGTGCACTAGACATCAACAGCCTGTCCAAGAGGACAAATCTCATGGGTCCCAGTGGCTCAGAGGTTGAGGGTCCCCTCCAACCTCAGCTCTCTCCTTGCAGACCCAGGTAGGTTCATGCTCCTTGTGCACAACTCTGAACACATCACTCCCTTGTATAATACAAAACACTCTGTGTCTCTCCACTGCCCACTGAGAAAAAAATAAGGCTAAAACTTCAGTCTGATAGTCGAAGCCTTCTGTAACCTAGGCCTGATCTTCTTCATCAACTGTACCTCCTTCCATGCCATCCTGTGAACACAGTGGTTCAATGACAGCAAATGATTTCTTGTCTGCTCTGAGCTTTCTTACCTCCATGGCCTTGAACATGGTTGTTCACTTGCCCTCCATCTCTACCTGTCAGAATCTGTTTCTCAAGGTCCAATTCAAATGCTCTCTCCTCCAAGAAGTCTTCCCTGATTCTCTTTAGAACCCAAGAACATTTTCTTCTTTTTGTCTTTGGTTTTGGTCAAGTCACTTAACCTAATCTCTGAGGCTTCAAACGGGGTTGGACTGTCCCCTTAAAGGCTGTGGGGAGAAACAGATCGTATGCCTCTAGCCAAAAGCTCAGTGCTTGGCACATAGCAGGTGCTTCCCATGTGGTAGACGTCATACTTCTATGACTATATGCAGAAAATGAAAATAAATCACTCAAGTGAAATTTGGAAGACACCCTAAATGTTTATCCATTGAGACTGGTGAAATTAATTATATTAGACCCTCACAAGGACTGTCAAGCAACTGAATAATAAGATCGAGATGTGTAAAAATCTGTCTAAGTTATGGTAAGTTAAAAAAGAATGTAGGGTCACGTATACTTCTATACTACACTGAAGAAAAAGGAGGTTATACTGATACCTTAACATATTTGGGATCAGAAATGCAAAAGTCTAAGAAGTATACACCTGTGAAAGGATACACCTATGAATTGGGACATAGCAGTTACCTGGCTGTGGCACCAGAGGCTGAATGGGAAGGAGATTTGTTTTTCATTGTAGGTATATTTTGTTGTTGTTCAGTCGCCAAGTCATGCCCGACTCCCTGTGACCCTGCAGGCTGCAACGTGCTGGGCTTCTCTTTCACTATCTCCTGGAGTTTACTGAAATTCATGTCGACTGAGTCGATGATGCCATCCAGCCACCTCATCCCCTGCTGCCCCTTCTCCTCCGGCCCTCAATCTTTCCCAGCATCAGAGTCTTTTCCAATGAGTGCATTATTTAACTCGTGCTCATGGTATTTTAATACTAGTAATATACTAAGAATCCTTGTGGAATAAAGAGTAACTTCTATAGAGGACACCGTTCATGGGGCCACACCAGTTCTAGCTGTTATCGAATCACAGGTAAGCATTCCCCAGGTAACCAGGAAGCCCGAGTATCACAACTGACCTCATTTCCACCACTTCCCGCCTGCTTTCTTCATATTTATCTTTCCACTCTGAGACCTCTCTCTCCTTGGTTATGATCTAGTATCAGGGCGAAGAAGAGGCAAGGTTAGTCCCAGATGAGTCCATTTGGGTGTGAGCAATTCACAGACCAAGACAAGGAGACATGAACAAACATGGGATTAAAACCTGCTACACCAAACAATTACTGTACTGAGAGAATTTCCCCAAGCGTGACAGAAATAAGCCATACACCAGACTTTCACAGTGCCCTTGGAGAGCAACAAAAATGTGTGGGCTTTTGTTGTTGTTATTATAAATCAAACGAGTCCAACAAAGGCTTATTAAACAACAGTGTCCAAGATCAAAACCCACGGTTTGCCACCTGTCTCTGCCGGCAGTGGTCAGAGGAGAAGGTCTGTGTCCAGAGATGCTGGCTTTGTGGGCCATGGGGACGTATGTTTATTTACAACTTTTCGCAGGCACCCAGAGCTGGCCCTGCCTTCTCGGAGGCACTTGCATGCCACGGTACCTCTGCCCTGGCGATCTGGAGCGCAGAGTCCAGGTCAGGCTGCTGGAACAGAAGGCCTGCGGGTTTCTCCACCTCGGCCGTCCCGATGCGGGAATACAAGGCTGTTTTGGAGATGGAGACATCCGGTGGGTGAGCAGCTTCTCTCTGTGGAACGGTTTTTAATTTTAAAAAGTGAACATCATGCTTCTGACAAAGAGAACTGCATTCATCCTCTCATGAATGGGTCAGTTGTATGGCTTTGAAACAAAGAACACCGAAAGTATGAGAAAATGCTAAGACTAATGAACGGGGGAATGCCGGATACAATCTACGGCCGTCTATCGTTTTGCATCTGCACAGGCTGACAAAGAGGCTGGTGGCGGAGGCCTCCCCGGCCCCCGGCCCCTGGAGTCAAGTATGTCTAGTGCCTGGTTATCACTGCTGTCTATCAGACACAGAGGCTTTTAGCCACAGCGAGTATTTACCAAAGCCACCTTCCAGCAGGCACCACTTCCAAAATAAAAGCCTGACGGTGAACAAGGCTGAATTATACTCTATGTTTGCCTCGTTCTGTACAACCACAGATCTGATGGTTTCTGTGAGACCGTCCACATTTCAATTTAGGGGGCATCGGTTAGCTCTCTTTGAAAGTATATAAATAAGTCATACAAAGTTTTTAAGACCTACTATAGTCAACAAGCAATGTCACCTTCAGTGAACTAGTTTCTGGATGCCAAAAGGTGAGCATTACACTGGAGTTCAACGGTGTCAATGGGAAAATAGAAAAGTGGATTACTGACAGTATCCATGTGCATGAATGTGTGCAAATAAGACCCTCGAGAAGCACTGTGATTCCCCACTGCCCGAAACTGACACTGGCTGGTCACCAGGGAGGAGAGGTCTACACTGACTGTTCTTCCTTTTGCACAAACGCTCAGCCATTTCCAACACACTTGAAACGCAGTGTTAGGAACACCACCAACCAGCGCAGCAGGGTTGTCAATCTAGCTCTACTGCAAAGAAACGCCAAACCAATCACACTCCCAGTCCCATTCATTAACCTCCTGGCCCGTCGTGGTTGCCAAGGCAAACCTCCACCCTGGTTACTAGAGTCTGATTCGATGCAGAGCTACGGTGGTCCAGTGGGAGGAGGGAACTGCTTCTTCCTTGGGAAACATGTAGAAGAAACGGAGCCATGAAGAGAACAGTGATGTAGAAGCAAGAGATGTGGGGATGGAACAGTGAGGACTGATCATGTAGGTGGAAGCAGAGACTAAAGAACCAATAGTAAGTGGGAAGGGAGTGACCTGAAGGTGCTTGAGCACAATCTCTCTCTTCAGTCACGGGAACAGGTATGCTTACCCTACTGTGGCCTCAGAGACAAGGAACCTGAGACAGCTCGGAAGACGCAGGTGGAAGCTTAATGAATAGGACTGGAGGTCACGGGGTTAGGACCAGTTAGTTGTACACATGCACGATAAACTAAGCGGTTTACACTGTCCTGGAAGCAAGCGTCTGCTGCGTGGCTGTCACACCCTAGCCTGATCTTGGGTGTCTGGGTTAACTCTCAGGTGCAGCCAGAACAACTGCTGCTCAGAGGGGAGAACACAGTTTTGTTCAACCAGACATCAGGGATGCCCACCCATCAGATGGAATGCAGGGATCCTTTAGCCTCAGGTCCTAAAGGTATTCCGTGGCAGGACATTTGAGCAGAACAGCCAACAGCCAGAGCTAACAGCTCTCGGGAGCAGGCAGACTGACCTCTTAGAAGAAAGAGGGCCACCAGACTGGAGGGCAGAGCCTCTCCCATGTAGGGGTTAATTTGTGATGTTTGCAACGTTTTCAACATTATGCTTGTCAAAAGGGAAACTTCTCAGGAAGTAAATGGAAAATTATAAAGGCATCAAGACTCAGTACTTACATTTATCATGAAAGTTCAAAAACAGAAAATTCTGAAGAGGATTTTTTTTTAAAACTTGTGCCTATCAGTTAAATAAAATAATGTGTTCTTTGAAAAAAAATCAGAATAAAATTTCAAAATGGAAAGAACATCCCGGTCCCTCTGATGAAAAAAATGAGAATCTAAATAAGATTTGGCCAAATCATTTCCCAGAATGAGATTCAATTCTCACTCCAAATAAACCAGCTCTCTGAAGTGGAAAAGAAAAATGAATGAAAACTAATTTTACTATACTGGGCAGAAATGAAATAAGATCGATGCAGGAGTTAATGACCTTTAAGCTGCCTCATGTCCTTTGTAAAATAAGGACAGGGATGAAAAACAAACAAAAGGATGAGCTTTCTAAGTAAATGCAAATGGTTACTACCGATACAGTGATTCACCATCACTGGTCATCCTGGCCACCTGAGTTTTCAATAAAGAAATACGATGACTTCAGAGTCCATCTAAATTATCATCCAAGTATCTGCAGGTCAATGAAATTCAAGATACACACCCTGGTTTTCTCTTACAACCAAGGATTGTTTTAAGCTGAAATTAATAGCTCTGTCTCTTCCTGATATTTTAAGATCAGACTTAGATTAAGCTTTATTTCTCTCACATAATCTCCCATTTGCTACTTTAGAGGAGCCAGGAAGCCCCTAGCATTGCAAATTAAAATGTGAAATGGCATGACTCAGACCACATGGGACTATGACCTCAATCCTCTTCCCTAAACTTTGATCCCTGTGGGGACCCCTGGAGCACTGTCACCCCAATGAGACCTACAGATACGCCCGGGGTCCTTCTGGCCCTGCAGCCAGGGTCTGCGGGTCCTGTCCCTCACCTGGGCTCGGAGTCCTCCTCGTGGCCAATCAATCCCCTGTTGCCAGGCTTACGGGAAGCTGCCATGTCCTGGACCAAGGCAGGATCACCGTCTCGGGGACCCGGGTGGCGCAGCAGTGAGAGAGCACGTGGGTGGGGCCCAGGAGACGAGATCCGGTCAAGGTCACGGAGCTGGGCCAAGGTCATGGAGCGTGGACACAGGCTGCACGCCTGGGGGGGTCTGGGCCACATGGTGCCAAGTCAGACAGAGAGCAGCCTCACCCTGCTACTGTGCTACCCAAGTCTGACAACAGGCGGTCTCGAGCTCAGGATGACAAGCCGGAGGAACGCACTTGATACGTGCCCTTAACCCACTCACCACCAACACCAACTGGCCACTCCATCCCAGCGGGTCAAGACGTGGCCTCGGAAAAGAGGGTGGAACAAACACAGAGTGGCTGACATATATCACTGCCATGTATAAAACAGACAGACAGTGGGAAGCGGTATAGAATAGCTCAGTGCTCTGACCTAGAGGGGTGGGATGGGGGGCGAGGAGGGGAAGGGACGCTCAAGAAGGAGGGAATATACATCCTTATATATACATCCTTATATATGCATCCTTATAGCTGATTCACACTGTCATAGAGCAGACAGCAACACAACATTGTAAAGCAATTATCCTCCAATCAAAACATAGATTAAAAAAGCGTGCATCTAAAAAAAAAATTAAAAAATATAAAATATAATGTATTCTCCCTTTAAAAAAAATAATAAAATTTCTGGGAGGAAGAAAAAGGCATGGACTCAACCCTCAACATAGGCTGCAGGTGATGACCACAAATTCTTGCAGCTGGGCAGTAAGCTGAAACCCACGTGTGAGCCCTTTGTCACTGCTCTTAGGATGGTCGCTGTGGGTTTGGGGCATCATGTGGTTACCTGTGGGGGGGCCTGGACAGAGCAGAAGAAAAGGCACCTAGGATATCAGGCTGCTCAGCAACCACGCAACTGCCCCAGACCTGACTCCTTCTCCTCCTGCTGCGACAAGCCAGGTCTCTGCCTTTATCAGCTAGGACTCCTGCAGGAACCATACACTAGGAATAATGCCCTTTCCTGCCCAGAGGAACCTGTTTCTAGGACTTCCTCTGGCCCCAAAGCTTGCCATTTGTATGATCCTTGATCCTAAGTTACCCAGATACAGCCTTCATTCTTTGTATAGGGTCCCCCTCTTCCCAAAAGGCCAACAGCTTAGGGACCACAACCAGTGTCTGTTACACACACAAATGCAATCCGTCCCTGAGTCCCGCAGCCCTTGGAAAGCCATGCAGATGGAACTCCGAGGTTCTATCCATCCTGGTTCAGTGGCGAATTCAGGGCCACGGCACCGCAGAGCCAGGGACCGGTCAGACCTACCCCCAGGAGGATACCACACTGCCAGAAGCTGTGGAAGGAAAACAAGTTGGAGTCTGACATCCCAGCCCCTGGCGTTTCCCTCATTTCTAACCTTTTCTGACTAATGAGGAGGAGGAAGCCCCACTGTAGTCCCTGGAAGGCTGGCTTTGCTGACCCTCAGTCTAAAGGGAAACGCGAGTGAAGCTGCTCCAAGGAGCAAATGAAAATCACCCCCGTCATATTTCATAATGCTTTTCATCCCCTCGGTGTGAGTTTTTTTTATGTTTTTGAAATCTCTCTTCTGAGAGATTTCATTTTGTGTGAGCCACAATTTAAGACCACGCTGTCAAAAAGATGGGGGCTGTGTCACTTGCAGCTGAAATATACGGGCAGCAAAGAGAGTCAATTGGATATACAGCTGCTGTTTTCCCTTCCTATATATCAACAGTTTCCAATGCACTAAGGGACTATCAAGCATCTCACGAACAAGAAACCCAGAGGGACCTAATTGGGTCCAGGCAAATGGATCACCCTAGGGCTAATTAACTATAGCAAAGAGCATCTATTTTCCATGGGCCCAGGTCCCTAGATAATAGACTTACAAAAGCGGTACAGGTTCCCAGGGTGGAGGAAAACACTCCTCATACTGTAAGACCCTATGGAATCATTCTTTTAACACGCCCTTCTGGAATACATAAGGAGGGAGCGGGCGCTGTCTCTCCAAACTACACTCAGGAGATTCACGTGACAGTCTTTTCTAAATCAGAATCAGGACACATGGTCTGAGAACAGGCTGTAACTGCCTGGGAGTCAACTGCTGGCCATCTCTGAGAAAGCAGGCAAGGGTACCAAGCAGTTCCAAACACTTCATACTCAATAAGAACTACTTAGAACATGATTCTGCCCCAAACTTCTGGACAAGAATAAATTGTATTCATAGTGACCAAACCTCAAGTAATTCATTCTGTGTTTAAGCCACTAACCAAGAATATCAAGAAATAAACCTAAGGGGGAAAAATTCCTTACTGCATAATGTATTCTAAAAATCTCATTTCATGGAAATTTAACCCAGGTTTATGGGTTGGCCACAAGAACAAGAACACGAACAATTAGACTTTACATTCTTGTCTCAACTCTGGGTACCAATGTTCCTGGTATGGACACGCCCATGGGGAGACATCTCAGAGATGTATCTGGAAGGCGGGGCGGGGGGGAGTCCCTGTTTGGCTCCAGGGGGACCACATGCAGGGGGCCCTCAAGGCAGGAGCAGCATGAATTCCTGATCCTGTATCAAGGATGAGAGATGGCCCTGCTGCTAGGCAAGCTGTCACTTGAGATGGACGGGCAACAGGCTCCCATCTGGAGATGTAAGCACTAGCTCCCGGAAAGCCAGTGAATCACCAACAGGCTTTGGGCTGGCTCCCAGGCTCCGTTTTCCCCATCTGTAAAATGGGACCTGGACCTGCCGTATGAGAACAGATGCTGGGAGCGTCTCATCAGGAAACAGAGGCACCAGTGAAGGTCAGCACCCATTCACTGATTGCACACCTACTGTGTGCCACGCACGGTGCTGCTCTCTGCACATCACCTACTGTCCTCACAGCAGCCTGCAAGCTTGCTATTAGCCTCTCGACAGGGATGGAAAACCCGAGGCTCACCCACTGGTTCAAGGCCACAGAATGCACTGGGACACAGTTCTTATCTAACAGCCCAGGTTTTTACAGGGCTGCCACTTGGGGGTTGGATGTGGGGGAGGGAATGAGGCAGCTTCTCAAACTGCAGGGGCACCCGTAAGCCCTGGGGGTGGGCTGAACCTCTGCAGACCACGTACTGTATTGCACGGCAACAGTCACTCATCCTAACTGTTGAACAAAATGACTCCAAACTTGGAAGCCAGCAAAACAATCTCTGCAGGCACTGTCAACATCATATTCTCCTCTAGAGAAAGACCGGCCACAGTCTCCTCTAGAGAAAGGCTGGCAAACTATAATGGGAGAGCAAAAGTGTGAGTCGCTCAGTTGTGTAGGACTCTTTGCCACCCCATGGACTGTAACCCAACAGGCTTCTCTGTCCATGGGGATTCTCCAGGCAAGAAGAGTGGAGTAGGTTGCCATTCCCTTCTCCAGGGGATCTTCCCAATTCAGGGATCAAACCTGGGTCTCCTGCACTGCAGGCAGATTCTTTACCATCTAAGCCAAACTACAGGGTGTGAGCCTAATGGCCTAATGCCATTTCCTGTAAAAGGTTCTTACTGGGCCCCACCAGACCCATTTATCCAGTGCTGTCCACTGCTGCTTTGGCAGAGCTGCAGAGTTGAGTAGCTGTCAGAGATCAGACAGATACCCGCAAAGCCTCAAATATTTACGCTCTCTACTTGCAGGAAAGGATAGCTTTTCTGTAATCCTCTTGACCCTGGCCTAAGGGTCATCTGACACGTCAAGATCTTGTTTTCGCCTATTTACTACTGAGTAGGGTGTAGTCTCAGTATAATCATTATTATTATTCTATAATAATTGTAGAAAACAGAAAAGCTGCACATTACTTTTCATCAACAGAGAAGCAAATGATTTCTGTAGGAAGAAAACAGAACTTCAAAGGTTAGGATTTATCTGTGCTGTTTAACTATGAATAGAGTTGACCAGTCTTATATCTGACTTTGCAATCTCATCCCAGGCTCCTCACGCCTCTGACTATACATGGGTTTCTCGTATTTTCCTCCATTCAAGCAGCTTTCCCACCCATCCTGCTTGGTTCCTTCCTAACCGAGCGGACCAGACCTCAGACATGGCCTCAGTGTGTACTTATGCACGAGTTACACTTTTAGCTTTTGTGGAGGTATCATCCTTTGTCGAACACCTGCTTGGCCGTGGTTAGCAAAGAAGCTTCTGGACCACACAACATTCTCAAGAGGCAGCACACAGCAGCAGCAAACCAGTACCTTGGTGTCCTGGCGGCTACGTGCAGCCAGGGCGATCTGCCTGGCCAGCTTCAGGGCTTCTATCCGCATGATGGCAAACTCTAACTCCTCCTGCCGGAGGGGTGGGAAATGAGCAGACCGCAGGGAAAATGCAGCGAGACAGGACAGAAATGTTTGTCCACATCCAAGAAACGAATGGGCCACGTGAATGTGTCGTGACAGGTACTCGGGGAAACACACGCGCTGGCTTTCTTTCACAATTAACACCTCAGCAGATCATGAAATAGGTGCTTAATTTCCTTTTTTTTTTTGTTAAATCACCCTTTGGAATGTCAGAAGTATTATGCCGTCAAATATGAAATGATTTTTAAAATGGGACCAGAATTTTTAGTGCACTGTTTCCTTCGATTTCTCTCCTTGTGTTCATTTCATGTAAGGTTGGCCAACAATTTCCATGAGTGGATCTGCATCTCTCAAAGGACTATAAGCCATCTCTCTAGGTTTGCTCTGCACGTCCCAGTCTAGGGGAATATCAAATTAAGTGGTCAAATTTAAAGCGCAGGGTAGAGAGAATGGTTTTGGTTCCAGATGCAAGACCTGAGTCCAGATGTTATCTCAATGGGGGTCTGAGGATAACCTCATATATATAAACAGTCTGGCTCGCTGGTGAGCTAATATCCTTGGTTCCATGAATAAATCACAGAAAGCTGCTTTTGGGGCTATCAAGACATCTGAAAAATGACTGTTTGGGTCCAATTTCCAAATTGAAATACAAATGGTTTGTTCCATATGGAAAGACACAATTTATATCACTCTGGCGTCCCGGGTAGAGAACGCCACATACATCAGTCTTGGAGGGGAAGCGATTCCATCTGGAACATTCACGGCAATACTCCAAGAACTCCTGCATCGCGGCTTTTGGAGTTTGGAGATTCATTCTCTACTGAGGTTTTTGACAAACTCCCCCAAAGTCACACATGGGCTACAAACCTGAAGTTTCTGAGCAAAGACTGGGGGGTTCTTTTCTGCTAAGTCGGGCTCCAGATAGTCAAGCGCACCACAGAGAGAGGCTGGATGAGCTAGCCTGCTGAGGAGGGCGTCAGCAGAGGCAAAGGAGCCCTCGGGAGCTGTCTGAAGGCCGGCAGAGGAAAAATAGAGGAGACAGAGTGACAGCTTCTGAGCAAGACCACCCATCTGTTGGCTGAACGTTTCTGCCTTAAGGCTAAAGAGAGTATCAGTTAAGTGCCAGTACTTCCCTTTTCATCTAGACTGATGTCCACGTGCTGATGACGGGCATCTTGAGACTGGCAGGCCCAACCCCCTCCCCCAAAGCTCCGTCTTAGGGTCCTTCCCCACCCCCACACCACCCCCACTCCATAACCAGCTGCTGGGAGGAGAGCTGTCCTTAGTTACTTGAAAACCTCTGCAGGTGGGAGACAAGCTAGCAGATGGGGATTCCAAACGTAACATAACTCATCAGGAAAATACTTTCCAGTATAAATATGCAAAGTAAGGTTTTGGGAAAGGTCATTTTCTAAATAATGGAAAGATGCTTTCAAAAGAAAAAGATCAGAAAGACTTCAAAATCAGAAGCCAACTTGGCAGAAAGTTGAATTACGCATGAGTCCTTCATGATGTCTATTTGAAAGATGCTCTGAGTCCCGTCTGGACCATGTTTTTGCTCACAATTATCTTTCCAGTGTCCAACAGCCAGACACACAGTAGGTGCTAAATTAAGTACTTGATGCATGAGATAAATGAATGGCTACACATCCGGAACAACAAAGTAACATGCTAAGTCAATGGCCTCAAACCATCTTAGGAATTGTGAGGAGGGAGGTAAAAAAGCCAAAAGAAAATTCATCCAGAAGGATGATCCATTTTAGATGTGTGGAGGTTGGGGGCGGGGCCTTGAGCTCAGGTCTATTCGCTCTGCGAAGCCCCACAGGGCTGGGGAATGAAGAGGTGTTAAGTCCTGGTCTATAAACAGAAAGCACTTCCCATCACCAAGGCCCAGGAGAACCAACTGTCTCTCAAAAGGAGAGCGTCTACCTGCTCTGCCATTCTCTGCCCTCTGCCAGAGAGGACAGAGAGGTAGGGTATAGACGGACGACAGCTCCAAAGCCACAGACTAGCTGGAAGGGGCTGGAAGTGGAAAACTAATAACCGTGAGAGCGAATAATGCGCTTAGGTGAGAACTCCAAAACCACCTTGGTCAGGACGGGGAGCCTTCCTCTGATCATTATGTGGTGGGATGACCTAGGCTAGCTTCCAGCCCCATGCCTGGTACCAGGCAAGTGGCGCTTTAAAGACCTGTCCCACGCAGTGATGGAAGCCCACTGGTCCCCGGTTCACCCACAGTGATCTTGGGTCCCTCCGACCCCACTTACAATTTCCATCACTTCCGATGCGGTGCCCAAGGCCATGGCCTCCAGCTCCTTCTGGGAGGACTTCTCTGGCACCTGCAAGTGTGGCTCCTGGTTGGGGGCCAGCCCTCGCGCAACGGGATGTTGGATCTTTGCCCCCGTATTCACAAGGGCTTCAGTCTCCTCGAAACTTGAGCTGAAGAAGCAAAGGGCATCTTTAGAGTCTGCACCAGAAATCCCACCAAAATCAGCCAGGATGCCTCGACTAATATGCCAAGGGATGCTGGACTTCCAGGGTTATAATCCCTGAGGAAAATGGATAGGTCTTAGGCAGCCAAGGGGCCTGTTGGCCGGGTGGAGGGTGGTCCAGTCCCACCCCAGAACCTGCAGACCAGGTAGAGCCAGAAGTACAGATGCCATCTAGCTAAGGACACAAAGTGTGAAAGTACTAATTGCTCAGTTGTGTCTGACTGTTTGCAACCCCATGGACTGTAGCCCACCAGGCTCCTCTGTCCATGAGTTTCTCCAGGCAAGAACACTGGAGTGGGCTGCCATTCCCTCCTCCAGGGGATCTTCCCAACCCAGGGACTGAACCCAGGTCTCCTACATTACAGGCAAATTCTTTACTGTCTGAGCTACCAGGAAAGCGCAAGGACACAAGCTTTGGAGTTAAGCAGACCACTCGGCCCCTGGCTGTGCACCTCAGGAGGGGAGGTTAGGGGCTGCAACTTAGTGACGATCAAGGGAGATGCTGCCTGCATGGAACGCACGTGACGCTGTGCAGTCCCAAGGCACCATGACCGCTGCTGTAATAACGCCATCATTTCACTCTCCGGCACTGGGCAGGTTTTGGAGGAAGTGTGGGAAGTCAAAGCAAGCGCTTTCACTCCTGCTCAGTGACCGGGCCAGCAGGGGAGGGTAAGAAGGTCCCAGTCTCAGCGTGAAACCCCACCTGCACCCGACCCAGCACCACACAGCTCAGAACCAGACCCTGAGAAAGGCTTACCTTCACATCTTATTAACAATCAACATTTACCAGGCACTTTATTTGTGCCAGGCCTCGTGACCAGTGCTCTCCTTACAGCATCTCCATTCACTCCCCCTGATGGCTTTTTGGACAGGGACTTCTAGCCCCATCCCCACTGGGGGATGCCTGTAAGACTGAGCACCTCAATTCATCTTCATAAAATCCCTACAAGGTCAACTGTATTCCTAACTCTCACTTTACACATGAGGGAAGTGCAGCCCAGGAGGGCTCAAGTGACCAGAGAGGGCCAGGAGTGGGATTCCAGCTCGGAATGCTCCAGCATGCTACCTCCCCAAGGTATGAATCACAAAATCAAGCGGTGTGTGCGCTGGGAGGTGATGTGAGGGGCGCATACATTCAGTTGGTTAAAGGATCCCAGCTCAGTCCAAAGGGCAGCCAGGGACAAACCCACCGCATCTGCGTCAGAGTGGATGCCGAGATAGAGACGTGGGCTGAGTGTGTGTAAATGAATCGAGGTCAGTAGAGAAGTGCATGGGCTCAGAGGCTGGGGGACCTCCATGTCTAGCTCCATGCCTAGGCCCTCCAGGGCATCGCTGTCTCATCGCGGCAGTCATACCCTGAACACGGCGTTGGAGACTCGGACATCCGGACAGGGGGAGACTTGACCGGGCTCTCCTGAGACGTGTCGAACATAAGGTACAAGGCCTGCTTCTTCGGGGCATCGTTGTCCTGCTGCAGGGATCAAAGTCACATGTCAGCTCAGCCACAGTGGCCTGAGCACGCTACCAAGACGAAAACCAGAGCACACTTCGATGGGGACAGGTAACTGGTCAGGAAGGAGCCTTCCTTGCTCTCCAGCCACCCGGAAGCGAGGAGACAGTGGTACCGGCTAGGAGAGAGGAGCGGAGGATGGCAGGAAGGGGAAGGTGGAAAGAGAAAGTGCGATTCCACCCAGGGGGGGAACGTTTCCGGGGAGAATTGACTGCGTTGGGGCTGGTGTGCAACACGCTCACTGCTGCTCAGCCACTGCCTTTAGTGGCCATCCTCTCTGGGCGCACAAGCACGCTGGTCACCCAGGATAAACAGAGGGGTCGGAGAGAGCCCGCCCGGGTGCTGCCCACAGTTGAATGGGGGCATGATGAACTAGAATGATCAGCGTCACCATCGAGGTTCACTGATTTACAGCAACTGTGGTTTAGAAGCAGCAACCCCACATCTACGAACGATGCAGAGAAAGAAATATAAGAGCAACAAGTCTGGGATCCTGAGTCGCACAGGCGCCACCCCCCCAACCCCGGGCATCACCACGCCTCTGTGGGTGCTGCCGGACAACAGCACAGCACAAAAGGTCGTGTTCAAGACCAAACGCCCCTGCGGCAACACAGGGGAGACAGCCACCCATCATAATGACTTAAAATGAAAGAGGAAAGGGGGACAGACTTACTGCTCAAAGGGGTAATCTTCAATTACAGAAAGCAATTAGTCTGAAGAAACCAGATCATGGTACACCTTAAAAACAACCACTCCTTCTACCTTTTCAAAAGGACTAGCTCTTTCTCAGTCAAAGGAAGTAATTCTGCAGGAAGTCTAAGAGCGTCCTATCATTTTCTCTCTGAAAATGGCATCTGAAGTGGGCTGAGACAAACCTCAACCCCATCCCCCACTCCAGCCCCGGTTCATTAAAGTGACTCCAAAACAGGGTGGAAAGCAAGTCCCCTGCTGGCTGGAGGCAGAAGAACTTACAGGTAAGGAGGAACCGATTTTCTCCATATATTCGATTTCATAGGAGTTTCTGTAATCCAACTCTGCAAAAGAAACAAAAGGAGAGGTGAGCACCGGAGTGGGGGGGGGTGCGGACAAAAGATTTATCTGGCTGGACAAGGTGGGGCCTGGAACAAGGTTTTAAGCTTTCTGAGAATGTCCACTGGCTGAGATTTCCGATACAGTCAAAAGGGGAGGCTCGCCTTAGCTATTTTCAGACAAGTGGTAAACCTCTTGCCATAAAGGCGCTTCGGCCACTTGGGAGTCTGAGAGAGTCCCACAGGAATTAAATGTCAAGACCAAGCACGGATTTGACTGGGAAAAGATCTGAGCATCCTGCACTGAGCTTTCAGATCACAGCGTGCGTGCGTACCCCCTGGGTGATGCTTTCTCTGAAAGTCTCATGTGCAGTTCAGGGAATCTTCCTAAGTTCTGGTGACATTTTGGAACTGGACCCGAGCTGCCCGTCTGGTTGATGGAAGCGAGGGGGAGGAACAGAGCTGCCATAAGAGCAGCTCTGCAAGGCGCTTAGAACATCCCCAATTCTTCCAGTACCAAGAGGCTGGTCCGAATCAAATGTTCAGACATGACTGTTAAAGTCCAATTTGGTGGAGTAATGGTGATTTCAAGTTGACAGGAGACTTTAGGCTACAAGGAAAACTTCGGATACTCTCACTGGAGACTAGAAATCCCATTGCCTGCCTCAGCTCCCAGGCAGTTACAGGTGGAGACCCAGCTCTGCCACTCCAGCCAAGTCCCTGTCTGGTGAATGGACTCTGAGCACCTACTAAGTGCCTCAGACTGTGCATGGCACGGTGGATACAGTAGTGAACAAGACAGAAGAGGACCCTATCGTCGCAAAAACCCCAATCCACAGCTACCTGATAGCTCTTTTACACTTAAGAAGAAAAGACATGACATGACCCACTCAGAAAGCAGGAGTGTCAATGGCAATCCCTAAAGCCCAATGCCTTAATTTTTTTAAATAAAAAATAAACAGAAATAGCAGCAGTTCTTCTGGTTTAAAGTCCATCATTCCTACATATTCATAAGCATATTCAACAGAATGGATCTTTTTAAAATGATCCTTTAAATATGAGCTTTAAAATGATATATATTCAGGACTTCCTGGTGGTCCGTCGGTTAAGACTGCAGGAGGTATGGGTTCTATCCCTGGCCAGGGAACTAAGAGCCTGCATGCCTCGAGGCAAGGCCAAAAAAATAATGAGGGATTTCCTCAAAGACTTTCTCAAAACCTGCAAGTGTGTATGGTTTTGGCTGAATAAACTCCAGTACTTAACCCCGTGGATGACTTTTCAGGAATCTCTGGGATGAAGCAAATGCATCTTTCTGGCAGGCATGACCTGCTCATGGGAATGGAGACGGTTTTGTGGATTAATGGCCAGAAGGACCTCACACATCCTGAAGGCGCTGACTTGTGCGTCCCTGGGGAGGAACACGGACTAAGCTGAACCGCATGCTGGGCAGGGGCTCAGTGTCTGTAACCGTGCTGTGAACCTGTCCCCGGGGTCTGCCTCGACCAAAGACACAGAAGCGTTCATTTATTAAGACTTAGTATCTGCCAAAGGCAGAGGACAGTGAAGGACAGAGGGCCTTCTAGGGCCTCTTCTGGAGGATGCCAGTGCTCATGTTTATTGTTCTGCTAAAGACTAAGTGGAGAAGATACTACAAATCAGCTCTTTCATCCTCCAAGGTATCACTGCTATTGCCAAGGCATGATTTTATCCTAACTGATTTAACAGAAAGCCTCCCCCTCCGCCACACAAACATGCTCTACAATGGCACAGAGCACCCGGGATGCACCAAGTAAGCTGGGGGCCACCGTGGAGATCCTCCGGGCCCTGGGACCCCGGGTCAGCACTAGCTCTGGTTACCAGCTCGCCTCAGTGTCCCACCTGGAATCTGCACTCGTTTTCCTGGCAGCAGATCTGGGTGAGTTTCAGGTCACTGAGCTCATTTATCTGCTTCTTTCCTACCTGCCAAGAGCATCTCAGATATATTCTTGTTTTTTGGCCACACCACGTGGCATGTGGGGATCTAACTTTTCTGACCAACAATCAAACTCACACTGCCTCCCTGCAGTGGAAGCATGGAGTTTTAACCACTGGACCACCAGGGAAGTCCCAGGTTCTCAGATATTTTGAGAAAACATCTTACTCAACTTGCTTTTCAAAATCTCACTCATCTGCCTTAAATTCTAAGCCTCAGAGGGTAGGTTCAGAGAGGGAAGCCACATGCAATTTTAGCGCCATTTTTACATCATGCTACACACAGCTGGCAGACCAGCAAAGGTAACAGCAATCATACCAAGCGGCTCAATGTCTTTACATCTAAGAGGCAGCTCTCTGAAGCACATGCTGCTTTGAGCTGAAGAGGCCTGACGTTATTGTTGATGGGTCCTGTCATTCTGAAGGCAATGTGCCATGAGAGGGCTGGACTGCTGTTCCCATTTGACTCTCCTTGTTGGGGCTTTGTGAGAGGACCAGAAGGAGCCTAAGCAGAAGCCAGAAGGATGCAGCTGAGTCCAGATTGTCATTCCCAGGATCAAGGAAGCCACCTCACCGACTTCTCCAGGCCTACTGACTCATTCATAAAATGGAGTTCAAAGTGCACACATCTTACAGGATAAAATGAATTGATGTAAAGCCCCACAGCTGGTCTGGCAAAAGGTAATGGATTGCAGGTCTATTATTGCTCACTGCTAATATTTCTGAAACTTTTAACATACGTGATGAGCAAAGAAGAGGCTTTCAGAAAGGGACAAGGACACTACTCCAATTTTCCTGGGTGGCCCTTCTCTATGTCTGTATCTCAATGGCAACGGTGCCCACCACTGAAGCTGAAGCTCCAATATTTTGACCACCTGATGTAAAGACCTGATTCATTGGAAAAGACCCTGATGCTGGGAAAGACTGAAGACGGGAGGAGAAGGTGATGACAGAGGATGAGATGGTTGGATGGCATCATGGACTCGATGGACATGAGTTTGAGCAAGCTCCAGGAGTTGGGGATAAGACTGGAAAGCCTGGAGTGCTACAGCCCATGGGGTCAAAAAGAGTTGGACAGGACTGAGCGACTGAACTGAAGAATAGGTTAGGCTTCCTCCCGAGGACACCTTCCCCTCTAATGGATGTAGAAGGGAGAGGCTGATGCCCTAGCAATGGGCCATCCAGATCTGTGAATCTAAAGCCACTGCTCCCTCAGGGTCTTAGACCAGAGACAGGGGAGATCTCGGAGGCTCTGTTGCCCAGTGGTTCCTGAACTTTTCATCCCTGGGAACCACACGGACTAAGTTTCTTCTCAAGGCATCATGTTTCAAAAGACTGCCCTAGAAAATGGCATTTGCTAAGCCAAGGGTTCAAAGAAAAATGTTTGATCATCAAGTTCCGGTTTTAAGCAATTGGAGACTATCGGTGTCACCAGAGAGAGTTGATGTGCTTATAGACCCCAAACATGCAATTTTAACTAGCTGGGCATCCATCTAAACTAGGTCTATTCAGGTTTTTTGGAATATTAAGACAATCTGAATCTCCTGTGGACCCAGGAAGTTCAACACCCTCATTCTACACTTGACGAAAGGAAGCCTGAAAGACGGTCACATAAAGACTGTGGTGGGGAAGAAGCCCTTCTAGTCGGGCAAACCTGGTCCTTCATGGATTAGCCCCTCAACACTGAGCAAACCTTTAACAGCTCAGATCCTCCACTCTCAGGTTCTTTCTGGGGAACAGATCTGCTCACCCCCGCCACCAGGTACACCTCTGGTGTGGCCAGATATGACCTCATGAACAGGAAGGACGATTCGAGAACAGGCCTCCACCAGTTTCTAGGTCGGGTTGCTGGAGGGAACGGGTACAGCCGAGAGATGGACACAGACCACACCTCCCGAAACTGCAGCTCTTCTGGATTCACACGTCCAGTGGACTTCCCATCGCCCACCAGCTACAACTACGGGCAGGGCTTCCCCAGTCTTCACAGTCATTTTCTAAGAAGGCAGATTTACTAGAGTTTTGTTCCAAACTTACACATTTACCTATCTGTAAAATTTTTTGCAGAAAACAATTCTCAAATATGTCAGTGAGCTAGTGAGTGGTCTTCGTTCCAAACTGAAAATGAAGCAATGGATGTCACCACTGAATGAGGCACCTATCAGCTTAAAAGGTATTATTAGGGTCTTTCTATTTTCTTGCGTGCTTAGTCACTAAGTCATGTCTGAGTTTTTGCAACCCTCTGGACTGTAGCCTGCTAGGCTCCTCTGTCCATAAGTTGTCATTTCCTTTTCATACGATCGTCCTGACCCAGAGATTTTCTATTAAAATAATACACATATTTATTTGATTCCTGGTAATACAACCACATACACACACCACAAAACACATATACCTTTTGATTCCTGTCTACAGTGGCAAGCTCAGGTTGGCTTCTATACGTTTCTATGACATTTAACAGATCCTTATCAAACCTCAAGAGATGTGAACCAGCAGGAGCTATCAAAGTGGCCAGGTCCCCGCTGGTCCTCACCTGCCCCTGCTGCTTCTGGGATGTCCACACACTCCGCCCATCTCCCTCACACAGGAGGTGAGTGATGCAAAAATCAGACTATGTGGACACTACAGTGTATACCTGCCTAGCCTCTATCTTTCCCCACAAAGCTGTCTTTAGCTCCTACTGTGTTCATGGTGCTCTGGGAAAAGCTGACTCAGATAGGGTTCTTGCTGTCAAGAAACACACAATCTAGTGGAGAAGTAAGGGATGCACTCGAATCATTGTTACCGCATCAAGCAACCTCAAAGTAGGTTCAGACCAGGCACTGAGGACAGGCAGCGAGGGTGCCACGTCCAGGGAAAGGCTGGGAGTGGGCAGGACAAGCCTGAGACAGGGAGGTGGGGGGCATTCTGCAGCAGCCACCACAGAGGGGCTGGATGGGGGTCCCATCCAGTGGGATTCCCAGCCCAGGGGTCTGTGAGCAGAGGAAGAGGAGGGCTGAAGTAGAGCTGAGGCCAGATCCCAGGCCCCCAGGGTCACAGTGGAGTAAGATGGTCACTGTTAAGCCTCCCAAGCCCCCGGCCACAGGGCTAACCCGACAGCTAACCAAAGCCTCCATTGTTCAGAAAATACAATGCCCTGAAGTCCAAGTCTTTCATCATCAAAATACAGAAAGGCGTGTCATAAGATAAGCATCACAGTCTCCCCCAGACCTGAAATGGCTCTCACTGTACCACTCAGAAACCTCAGGGCACAGAGCAGGCCACCCAGGCCCCGGGTCAAGAAGAGCCTCCAGGGGAAGCTTTCCAGGTTCCCAGGGCGGCAGTGGAGACAAAAGCATGGAGTGCAGACTGTGGACACAGCGTGGGACGGAGAGGGTGGGATGAACTGAGAGAGCAGCGTGGAAACGTGTAAATGACCACAGATAAAACGGCCAGTGGGAATCTGCTATATGACACAGGGAGCTCAGATCAGACACTCTGTGAAAACCTAGAGGGGTGGCTCCGATGGTAAAGAATCTGCCTGCCATGTGGGAGACCTGGGTTCGATCCTTGGGTCGGAAAGATCCCCTGGAGGAAGGCATGGCAACCCACTCCAGTATTCCTGCCCGGAGAATCCCAGGGACAGAGAAGCCTGATGGCCTATAGTCCATGGGGTTGAAAAGAGTCGGACATGACTGACTGACTATACTTTCACTTTTCACTTTCAGAGGGGAGGTGGGAGGGAGGGGACATACCTACACCTATGGCAGATTCATGTTGATGTATGGCAGACACCAACACAGTATTGTAAAGCGATTTTCCTCCAATTAAAAATAGATAAACTTTAAAAATTTCCTTGGTTACACCCCTGCTCCACCCAGGTGGGGGGCAGGAAGTGGCCTGATAGAGAACACGGCTCCTTATTAGCAGCAAAGAAGTGGAGATAGAGTTTCCCTGTATGATTGTCCTCATACTGAATGCTACTCAGTTTTTAAGACTTGCTAGAAATTAAGATCTCAGAAAGGGAAACTTAGATCCATCAACGACAGCCCAGAGTATTGGAATGACGGCTCAAGACTAGGCTCACAAGCCCCACATGAGATGGGTGGAGGACAGGCCCCGTGAGGATTAGGAATGCAGGGTACCATCATATCCCTCCCTGGAAGGTTCTAGTTGCCGACTTAAGATATACGGATTTTTCAAGCCAAAGAACCAGGCAGACAGCTGCAAGTCGATACATGTCAAAGGGGAAGAAGATATGAATGATGTAAGTGACACGCCTAGGGCCTGTGAGAAGGACTCAGGGTTCTCGTTGGCAAGTTGAGGGGGAGCCTCTGGTTTAGGGCTTGAGCAGAAGGTGCTGGTCACATGGTGGAAGGTCCCTAGGGGCCAATGAACTATGGGGACCCTGAGAGGCCCCTGGGCCAGTTTACCCAGCTGAGCATTCGACACAAAATCCTCAAGAAACAGAAGCCAGACAGCTGAGAAGGTACAAAGCTCGGGGGAGCCCAGGGCCAGGTGTTAGAGGTCGCTCTGCTTGCTCTTAGCAGGTGCCTACGGCTCACAGCACAGCTGGGTTCAAGCCTCAGGCTGTGTTAACAGGCAGCCTGGCTCAGGGAGCCCCGGGAGGCGTGATCCACAGAACAGTTGCCTGGCTTAGCGGTTTCTTTCCTGGCCCTTTGCTCCCTGGGGCAGTGGTCTCCAAGGCAGGGTGGGAGTCCAGAGGGCCACCAAGTTGCTTACCCTCCGTGGGTGAATTGAATTTGGTCTCATTCACGAAGGTGGACAGGTCCGAGGGCTGGGGGTAGTCCTGTTTGTCAGCCTCCAGATCCACCGTCATGCACGTCCACTTCTGACTGGTGACCGCCAGCTTCTCCTCGTCGGTCGCGTGGACCACTGCCGAGATCACGGGCGGCGTTTCCGGCGTGGCCGCGGGGGTGGGGTCCTACCAGGAGAAGGGAAGCCGTCTCTCCTCTCGTCCCGTCTCTGTGCCCACCCACGGGGTCTGGGCCCCTCTACCCAGGATGGGACCCTGTCACATTCCTCTGCTCAAAACAGTTCCAAGGAAACAAATTCTTTCCTCTATGAATTTCCTTTTCTGATGGCTTGTTTCAGGGGGTAATGAACATGGGTTTAAAAAGGAATCAGGATTTTGTGTTTTGATTATTTGAGACATTCCTGCTCATTCACTTTGAGAAAAATAAAGAAAATTTTTACAACTGGCACTTTTATTAGGACAACTATAGTGTTATGCCCACAAAGGGCTGGACATCAATACCACAGACATCGCCCAACAATCGTTATGCCTGATGCCAGAGGTAGAGAAAGTGAGTTTCAGCCTCATCTCCACAAAGGGGTGCAGCTAAGCTGGACAGGGTGGGAGCCCAAAAATGTTACAGCAGACGTGGCACTGGACCCAAGACCCCTCTGGTGGGGCTTGGCGCCTCTCTGCAGCCCCGCCCTGGCCAGGGCTGGCCTGGCTGGGGTCTCACTGGCTTAGATGAGGGCGACAGAGGAGATCTGCTTGTTTTATGACCTTGAATGGCCTGACACACATTCCTGGTCTGTAAAGAAGGTGAGAGGAACTGGTAAGAGGGAGACAGGGAGCTCTGTGAAGAAAGAGCCCAGCCCCCACTTTTTTAGGGGATGGAGTCCCTTTTCCGCCCCAGTCCTGATGCTGGTTACACAATCCAGTGCTCCTCACGCACGTTCAGTTCTTTCTCACTGTACATGCGTTTATCTCCATAGACTTCCTCAACTTGATACTTAAGGATGTTCTCAGCAGGTTAACTGGCCAGAACGGACCAGCATGATTCCCAGAGAACTAATATTTTTCCTGGGCATCTGCCAATTCTGCGGACATTCTCTGACATTTCCCCAAGGGAAGTGATCAAATCCAAGTCTTGCAAACACTGAGGGACCCTCCATGGAGGAGACAAGGAGAGGGTATTGGAAACATGGCCGTGATGAGCAACTGACTAGTAGGGGATGAACACCCATCAGCCTTGACTCCCCCTCCACCCCTGGGCCAGTGATAAAATGATAAATGTCAAGGGAACAGTATACCTGAGAAGGTGGATCAGAGAGAGGAGACCGTTTTGGCGACTTTTTCACCCTAAACGTGTCACTGGAAACAAAATGAGAAATGTAAACGCAATGGACAGAGGCACAGAACATTCCAGAGCCAACCGAGGCCCACAGTGTGACTGCTGAGTATCCGGCCCAGACCACCATCCCGTCCACACCACCCCCACACCGACTGAAAGACGTCCACACTGACAATCCATTCTGATTTTTTAACAGATACTGTTGCCCTCGAGGGAAAGATTCATCAAGCCTGAAGTCTTTTGAAGACATGCCATTGTGGAGAGCTAACCCAGAAAGTGAAGCTGACTTTGCCCAGACGTTCTTACTTTAAAAAAGCAGAATCTAGTGAGCGGATTAACACATCTGCATTCATCCAGGAGGGTCTGAATCAGCTAAGGTGGGGGAGGGGATGTGAGCTCATGACACCCATCAACAGGAGTTCCAGAACACTCAGCCGACACAGCACTCAAACAGCTGAAGGAGCCGTGCGGAAATAGGAAGGGAAGGTCTGGGTCTTGGGCGGGAACTGGAAGATTCCCTCCTACATGCAGGAACTCTGAGCTTAATGGGCTCCTGCACCTCTGACCTTCTGGGTGGGATTCTGACTAAAGGCAGGGCCAGGGGTGACATCATTTTTTTTTTTCCATTTATGGTAGAATACACATAAAATTTACCATCTCAAACACTCTTAAGTGTACAGTTCAGTGAAGTACATACACACTGCTGTGCAACCAAACTCCAGAACTCTTTTTTCAGAGACGAGATCATTAAAAAAAAAAAAAAGCCTTTCCTAATCACCATTAACGACTCTGGTCGCTTTTTTCTCCTTCATATAAATAACTGGGGGTGAGGGTGAGGGAGAGGAGGACCTAGGCAAAAGAGACATCTGCTTAGATTCCTGAAAGAGTCAGAAGGAAGGGATTTTTTAGCATAGATGGTTCCATTATGTCTCCTGGGTGATCAGGGGGGTCATTTCCACAATCAGAATGGAGACTTCTCCACCTGTAGACTGGCCTCGGCCCCCTGGTCTCGGGCCCCTCAGTGGTCTGGTCTGGCCCCCAGCAAGTCAAGGGCTTGCGGGGGGGGGGGGGTCCCCTCATCTTACACTCCCCCTCCCCCTCTCCTGCTCTAGACGGTAACTACATGGACAGAGCAATTGGACACCAAGTTCCTCCTTGTGTTTGCTCAGATAAAACACTCCAACAATGGCATTCAGTTATGAAAGAAATACTATAAATAGTTATTTAGAGCATTTGTGGCATTTGTCATGTGAACAGTGCAATTACAGCTTGAAGCATATATTTATTCATGCATATAAATATGCAACTGTGTGTTTCACAGTTGCTAAGTGGCTCTAAAATACTGGAGAAATCCCTGGGGCAGAAGAGTCCCTGAGAGACTCCACTCTATCCCAAGGCTGCTGGGAGCCTGGGACCAGGCCAGCTTCTCTTGGAAAGATGTTGAGGCAAAGAAGATGCCTGTCCATGGGCCCTTGGGAGCGGCCTGCAGGATCTCTCACGGCCCGGAATGCATACAGGCACAGAGGTGGTCCGACCTGTCGCTCTGTTTCCCTCAACAAGGCAACCCCCAGATGGCATGGCCCGGCGATGGCTCTCACAGCCGTGTGCTCCACCCTGAGCTGACCCTGCATTTCAGGGGGCTCCCATCAGTCTCAATTTGAAACAGCCCAAATGTTTCCGCTTCACATGTAGCCAGAACAAGAAACAGCAGTTCCTGCCTGTGGTCGGACTGGATGGTTATTTTAAGGTGAAGCCACAATACTTTGAAAGCAATCGCCTACTTGTCCCATTTAAAATGGAAGCATGGAATGAGAGTTTAAAAAAAAAAATGTATGGGTTTCAGATGAAGACATTCAATATGCAAGGGGGGAAAAAAAAAGGTTCCATTCCTGACAATCAGGCAGATGTTGGATAATCACGTTTTCACAGCCAAGCAGTTCCACTTATGCTAATCACTATGAAGCAGACAAACAACCTCTGCTACTGGGAAGCCCCATGCCCCGTCATTCCCAGGCCCGCCACAGAAATATGTAAGCAGCAGCCACGGAAAGGAAATAAAAAAGAGCTTGGAAGCAAAAGCAAAGGCAGGAAAAAGCACATTTGGCATAAGAGGCAGATTCCGTTAAATTTACTTACAACAGAGAACATACAGACATCACATCTTCAACCATCCTAAGACAAGAAGACAAAGAAAAAGAGAGACAGACAGAAGGAACTGACAAAAAAGATAAATCTGCAGATGACTGGTTATTAAGGGGTTAGGATACAACAGCCATCCAGTGTGCGGCTTGGGTGTGGGGGGCTACATCCCAGCTTTCTGGAGAGGAGCTGTCGGAGAAGACCTTCCTCCCTTGGTTCCAATTATCCCATAAAGTGGTGGTGGCTCCAAGAGCCTTGCCACCCCAGTGGAGGACTCCTAGCCATCTGCACCAGAGGTGAGACCTGGGGACAGGCAGGCTTCCCTGACCACAGTCAGCTCTGGTGACAGAACAGAATAGAACAGAACCAAGCTATCTTTTGGGGAAGGAGAAGGTGGTGGCTTCAAGTTGACTCATCCCCCAAAATGAGAGAAATGGCTCTGTGGTGTGGGCATTTCCATTTTCTCCTGTTTGTGCCTTAAAATAAAGCTTCCAACACAGATTCTAGAGAATCTTTAGGAAAGGCCTGGTTTAGCCACTGATCTGAAAAATAAAAAACCAAGTCCACATTTTTGGCCAGGACCATCTCCCATCCACCACCACCCAAAGTCAAAGCCTGCTTAGAGACCATCTTCTCAGAAAGCCTCGGGTTCTTCTCAAATGTCATATGCTTGGGGGCGGGGACAGGGGGTGCAGAAGGAGTGGTGAACAGGTCACCCTATCTTGATCTGTACCAGGCAGACTCAGAGGGGCCGGCAGTCATGGTCTGTTCTGCTGAGATGCCACCAGAAGCTGGGTCTTCTGGTCAAATTATTGATGATACTTCAGTCGAGAGCAAGGAGAAAGGCTCCAAGCATCAAACCACACTACACTTGGACCAAAGGCCCAAGGATGGACCTGCAGCCATCTAGTTTGGAACCTGGGCTGAACTCCAGAGGCATGGACACGTGTATCAAGAGCAATCCACTTGGCCAGGGTCTGGACAGCAGACCTGATCACTCACGGCCTCCTGGAGACTATGGGGACCGCTTCTCCCTTTCAGGTTCCATTGATCTTTTTTGGATCCACAGGGCCTGTGGACTCTCATCTATGAAGATGACTAGATAAAGGGGTGCTTCCTACAGGGTAGATGGGGCACAGGAAGGGGCCCAGACCAGGCCTCTCGCTCACGGGCTTCTTGAGTCTATTGTGTTTGCCTCTTGGGCTTGTTGCTGTTGTTCATTCACTAAGTCATGTACAGCTCTTTGAGACCCCGTGAACTGTGGCACACCAGGCTTCCCCGTCCCTCACCATCTCCCTGAGTTTGCTCAAACTTATGTCCATTGAGTCAGTGATGCCATTCAACCATCTCATCCTCTGTCATCCCCTCTCCTCCTACCCAGCATCAGGGTCTTTCCAATGGGCCAATGTCTCATTAAAGCGCAGAAACAAATACAGAAACAAATTTTAACAATATTTTAATGGGTGGATCCCTTAGTTTCCAGGCCACTCCAAAAAGCAATTCATGTGTTAAACAGAAAATGCTAAATCACCAACAGGGAGGCTGACCAGGCCACCACTGGGCTGCTCCCTTTCCATGGATTCCCCCACTCTCTCCTGAAGTTCAAGGTCAGGTCTTCACCTACAAGTAAAGCTTTAGACCACTAACTGATTGAGGCAAGAGGTCAAGGACTCTAGACCCAAAGGGATGGGAGGATGGGACACGCCACCACTATGGGTGCAGAGCGGAATGACAACAGGAACCCTGATGCAAACATGGTGGCACTGTGGCAAATGGGGGGGTGCCAGGGCAGCCTAGGTTTCCAGGCGAGTAAGCAACAATCACAGCCAGTGCCCAGCCCCGCCTCTGCCCGTACCACCTGCACCCCTGAACTTACGTCTTGAGGGGCGTCTTCTTCTTCTTGGCGGGCTTGTTCAGCCCATCCCCGTCCACTCCATTGGCTTCGATGGCACTGGCTGGGATCTCAAAGGAGGCTGGGGATTTAGAAGGTGAGCTGGGGGCCTTAGAGCACGTCTTAAAGGGATCAATGGACTCATCACAGGCATCCGGGTCAAAGTTGTAGGATTGTTGGGGCAGTTTGGGAGACTCCTGCATTTTTGAGGTGGAAGAAAAAGGGTTAAAATTGGGGTCATCCCACTTGTCAATATCAAAGGTGTAGGTACCTTTCGCAATAGGGATGTCATTGGGTTCAGCGGGGGACCTGGTAGGCGAGGCAGGGGTGTTGTCGAGTTTTTCGGGTGTTTTTTTCATCTTTGGCCTCCTTAGGGGCATTTTGGCAACCGGCTTTTTGCCTATCTTTTTGGTGGGAGGCAGGGTTTCCTGCTGGGTGTCCCAACTACCCTTGTCCTCAGAATAGTCAAACTCCAGCCTCACTGAGAGGCCTTTGGCTGGGGAGTCCTCTTGCCCCCCACTATCTGATGGGGTCACCTCCACTGCCTCCGGGGCCGTGGCCAGAGGCAGGGTTCTCCTTCCAATGGGAGGTGAGTTCTGCACTCTGCCACCCCCAGAAGTTGGGGGGACAGCCCCTTCTGCACCCTCGGAGTCCAGAGGGCAGGCCGCCTTGGGGGCAGCAGCAGGTTCTAGGGGTGCCTCCTCCGATAAGGCTGATCTAGAACCTTCCGCCCTGGCCGGTTCTGTTTTCGTGTCGGCTATCTGATTCTCTTCGCTGGGGTCGTGGCTCTCTCCGGCGGGCTCGTGTTGTGTCTCTTTCACTGGGGGGGTTTCGGGGGGCTTCTTAGTGGTCTGTTTCTTTTTTAAGGAAGGCGGCCTCGGTTTCTTAGTTCGCTTAAGGGTACTGGCAGCACTGCTCGAACCCGCGCTGTATGCATCCGCGACCGGGGCCGTGGCCTCGGGGTTGCCTGAGCAAGAAGCACCATCAAAGTCACTGGCTTGCAGGCTGAGCGAGCGGGACAACGTCGACTTAGAGGTGGGGACGGAGTCCGTGGACTTCCTCCGTGAGTTCACCTTGCAGTCCTGATTCTTAGGGTCTGAGGGGCGAGGCTCCAAGGTCTGAAGGTTATCCACCAGCTCGATGTTGTCAAAGTCCAAGTTGTAAGTCCCGCTGCTGGCTATCGGCTTGTCTTCATCGAAGACGGCGGAGAAGGAGTGTGACGGGGGATGGAAAGGACTGCCTTCCACGGAGCTGCCGCGGGGGCCATCCGAGACGGAGACGGGCTCACAGCCGCATCCTGAGGGAGCGGAGACAAAGCCGTCACTGAAGGATACGGGACACTCATCTCGTGCCAGACCACCACCCTCCAACACCAGAGCCCCAGGCCAGCCCGCCCACCCCTCAATGCGCACGCTGCTTGGGTACAAATCCTGCTCTCACCAGGCAGCTCCAGGCCCTGGACAAACAGACCCCCAGCTTTCTCATCTGTAAAATGGGAGCAATAAGAGCTGTTTAAAGGATACCTTTAAACACTGTCATCTAAAACACATTACCCGGACTTCCCCAGTGGTCCAGTGGCCAACACTCTGCACTCCCAGTGCAGGCAGCCCAGGGCTTGACCCCTGGCTGGGGAACTAGATCCCACATGCTGCAACTAAGGAGCCCTCCTGCTGCAACTTTAAAAAAAGAAGAAGAAAAAAAAAAAACCCTGTATGCCAAAACTAAACATTCAATGAACATCGATGCTCCTGTGTGCCACAACGCCCGACACAGCCAAAAAATAAATATTAAAAAAATTTAAAACACATTTACCAAGTGCCAGATCAAAGCAAGGCACCATTCTGGGCACTGGGGCCTCCATAATGAACAAAATCCTTGCTCTCCTGCAAGTTAGGTTCTTTAGCGAGAAGACAGTCAAGAAGCAATAAACAAGTAACATGTATGGGCTGTCAGATGGTGGTAAGTGCTAAGGAAAAAAAGAAAGTCAGGGTAGGAGTGTTGCAATTTTAAAATAAGGTAGTTGGGCAAAGCCCTTCAAGGAGAAAACATTTAATCCAAGATGAGAAACAAGGTAAAGGTGTGACCCATGGGCATATCTGGGGGTAAGCATCTAAGGCAAAGGAAACAGCAAGTGCAAAGGCCCTGGGGTTGGTCCACACATGGGGTATTGCAGAAATACCAAAGGCCAGTGCAGCTAAAGTAAAGGAGAGGAGCAGGAAAGGAAGACAGAAATAATGCAGGTAAGACACAGTGAGCCTTCAGTAAATATTAGCTCCCATCATCATCCAGCCTGCTCTAGAGTATGCAGAGCCTTTAGGTGCAGGCCCCAGGCAACTGCAGAAGAACTAAGCTTATGCATCTGCCACCTGTCCTGACTCTAGGCACCCCCTGAAATCTCTCCCTCCAACCCTACCTGCCACGCCTCTCTTCTCAACCTCCCTCTCATCCATTCTCTCTCCATTTTTTGCAGCTTCCTCCCAGCTTCTCGGCCCCCTCAGCCGCTGCCAGCCAAGGATGCGGCTTCTTATTTTAAAACATGCTGTGGATGCTCTGGGATTCCCAGGTGGCGCTAGGGGTAAAGAACCCACCTGCCAAGGCAGGAGAAAGAAGAGATGCAGCTTCCATCCCTGGGTTGGGAACATCCTCTGGAGGAGGGCACAGCAACCCAATCCAGTGTTCTTGCCTGGAGAATCCCAGGGACAAAGGCGCCTGACGGGCTACAGTCCATGGGCTCGCAAAGAACTGGACACGACTGAGCACACAGGCATGTGGACGCTCCAGATGCTGGTCAAGAGATACTCCAGCACCTCACAGCCCCGCTGCTCCACGGGGATGCAACCAGCGTGGCCTTGTCTCAGCTGCCCTGGGTTCTGCCTGCACCCTGTGGTGCCCCGCATGCACATCTGGCTTCACAGAGACCCTGGGCAGTCTAGATGCCAGAAAACTAAAGATGCGTAAATAGACAAAGGGGAGGAAATGTTGCAAAGTGGTCTGCAGAAGAAGGAATTAAAGAGCTGGCACAGGGACTTCTCTGGTCCAGTGCTTTGGACGCCACACTTCCACTGCGAGGGGTGGGGCATGGGTTTGCTCCCTGGTCAGGGAACTATTAATAAGATCCTGCATGCTGCATAGTGAAGCCAAAGAGAAAAAAAAAGAGAGAGAGCTAGCGTATATATGACTTGGGCCAGCATTCCCAAAGTGTGTTTCACTGACAACAGTTATATCCTGCAGTACCCAACCCATCCTGTGCTGGAACAGTTGCCAGATAAAATATAGGATGTTCAGTTAAATTTGGATTTCAGATAAATGAATATGTTTTTTATATAAACATGTTGCAATCACTCATTATTTATCTAAGATTCTAAATCAACTGGATGCGCTGTACATTTGTTTGCTAAATCTGGCTGCCCTAATGCCTCATTCCAACAAATGAACAAGGTTTGGGAGATGCTTGCTTATGTGAGAGCTCAGTTGGTAAAGAATCCGCCCACAATGCAGGAGACCTGGGTTCAATCTCTGGGTTGGGAAGATCCCCTGGAGAAGGGAAAGCCTACCCACTCTAGTATTCTGGCCTAGAGGGATCACAAAGAGTTGTACATGACTGAGCGACTTTCACTTTCTTTTTCAGTTAACACCCGACCTGGCTTCTTACTGTAGATTTTCTCAGGGCTGCTCATGCTCATGGCTGCAACTTTGAGGCGGTGAGCACTTGGCAGAGAACCCCAGGAGATGAAGGGCTGCCTGGGAGATAACAACACAAGGAAACGTCTAGCCTCTTGAGTTCAGGAGCTGGTCTGATATATCTTTGTCTTCCCCGGACCTGTCACACTTTCTCTTGCCGGCTGAATAAATGCCTCTTGCATTGAGATTACCTTCTGGAAGCAGGTCTGTTCGCCAATCATGGTTTCAAACCTTCCCTTCTTTTCGGCATCCAAAGCCACCCCAGGCCCTACTTGGAGCAGATGTCCTCGAAGATGGAAACTCTCAACCTTTTCCGCCAAAAGATTCACCATGTCTCAAAAACACTCCTGATTCACGCTCATCTCAAAAGAAGATGTCCCCTCCCTCCTCCTTTCTAAAATCAATTTCCTCCAGAGACTTGCACCCTCCTTCCATCAGCAGTTGTCTCCTCTTCCTGCCCTTGCCACACAGTACAGAGGGCACAGAAGAACCAGGGAACGAAGAGGACCTGGTGTTTCAAGTGGGCCTTGCGGGAGGGAGAAAGAGCCTCAGTGCCTCCCATCATTTCCAAAGCAAGGGCCAAAACTGCCGGCCTGCTTTCTCTCAGGCTACTAGGCACACCCGAGCAGCCTTATGAGGCCCTTCAGATGTCAGGAGTTCTCCCCAAACCACGAAACATGCAGCAGATACTCAGCTTAACCATCTGCTCACTCTTTTCCCCAGAAGAAAAGCTCTCTGACTGCCTAACGTGGCTTTCCTCTTTAGACGTGACATACCATAATTAAATCATCATGGGCCAGGAGATCGAATCTTGGTGCAGGGTTTCTAAGCCTCTGCCCTGTGCCCGTGTCATGATAGTAAGTATTTTGTCTCAGTGTGTGTGGTGTGGGGGGAATATTGTTCATTGCAGGATATCTAGAAGAATCTTTGGCTTCTGCTACAAGATGCCTTTACCCTCCCCAACCCTGAACTGGGACAACCAAAAATGTGTCTGAAAGCCTTAGTTGATCAGTTGTGTCCGACTCTTTGCAACCCCATGGACTATAGCCCACCAGGCTCCTCTGTCCATGGGGATTCTCCAGGCAAGAATACTAGACTGAATAACCTGTCCCTTCTCTAGGGGATCTTTCCGACCCAGGGATCGAATCCGGGTCTCCTGCATTGCAGGTGGATTCTTTTTACTGTCTGAACCACCAGGGAAGCCCAAAAATGTGTCTCAGTTCAGTTCAGTCGCTCAGTCATGTCCAACTCTGCAACCCCATGGACTGCAGCACACCAGGCCTCCCTGTCCATCACCGACTCCTGGAGCTTACTCAAACTCATGTCCATCTAGTTGGTGATGCCATCCAACCATCTCATCCTCTGTTGTCCTTGTCTAGAAATTGCCAAATGTCCCCTGGGGTGGGGCACAATAACCCCTGGTTGAGAAGGCCCTTCGGCTCTCTTCAGAAGAAGCCCCAGACCAGAGCAATGGGCTTCTGCCACGTTCAGGCCTTGATTTCCCACAGCAAGTATGGGCCAGCTGCATTCCCAGTCGCCCTCACTGGACTTCTAAATGCTCACACACCGTATCAGCACGAAGACAATGTATTCATTCATTCCTATATATTGGGGCTTCCCTAGCGGCTCAGCAGTAAAAAAATCCTCCTGCCAACTCAGGAGATGCAGGTTTGATCCCTGGGTTGGGAAGGTCCCCTGGAGAAGAAAATGGAAACTCACTCCAGTATTCTTGCCTGGGAAATCCTATGGACTGAGGAGTCTGGCAGGCTCCAGTCTGCGGGGTCGACTGAGCACACACACACACGCATTCCTATACATCAAATAACCTGGGTGCCTCCTATATGTCAGCCACTGGGAGGCATGCTGTGGACACAGAGGTAAGGAAGGTCAGGAGCCCAGAGGGATCCACCCCACCAGGGCGGAGCTGGACAACGCTTGCCCTGGCTCCAGATTCTGGCTCAGTCTGAGGACAAAGTCAGCATCCTTGTTTCACGACGTTCAAAGGCTCACTAGGTGGCTCCCAGCTGCAAGAGTCCAGCTCAGGCCACCAAAACAAATCCACAGGCTGAATGAAGAGCTCAGGAGGCCGGAAGCCCAAGGTCAGTATGTCCCCAGTCCTCCTTGACGTGCCGACGGGCATCTTCTGTCTGTATCGCACATGACTTTTGCTTAATATGAACTCGCCCCCTGACGTCTCCTTCTCTCCCCCGACTGTCTTCAAAGGTCACATCACTTAGCCTCACTGACCGCTTCTAATTGGAGCACTTCTGCCAGCTGCTCTGCACTTCTCTCCCCTCCCCCCACCCCCTGTGAGCTCACCCTGGGCCGGAATCCACGGGCCCAGAGGCACAAAGGTGCTAACACAAGGCACCCTTGCCCTCAGACGCTTAGCTTCATCCAATAGCTTGAAAGGGAAATGGTCCCGTAAAGAGGGAGCACAGCTCTACATCCTCCAAGCATATGAATAATGGGGCTTCCCTGCTGGCTCAGATGGTAAAGCGTCTGCCTGCAATGCGGGAGACCCAGGTTCGATCCCTGGGTCAGGAAGATCCCCTGGAGAAGGAAATGGCAACCCACTCCAGTACTCTTGCTTGGAAAATTCCATGGACTGAGGAGACCAGTAGGCTACAGTCCATGGGACTGCAAAGAGTCAGACACAACTGAGTGACTTAACTTTCACATATGAATAATAATCAATTGTAGTTAATAAGAGCTTCCCAGGTGGCTCAGTGGTAAAGGATCTGCCTGCAACGCAGGAGCCTCAAAAGATGTGGGTTCAATCCCTGGGTTGGGAAGATCCCCAGGAGGAGGAAATGGCAACCCACTCCAGTATTCTTGCCTGGAGAATCCCATGGACAGAGGAACCAGTGGGCTATGGTTTATAGGGTTTATTCTCACATCTCACTGGGAAGCAGGTGGTGAGATGCCCCACGCATAGATGCTTGGAGCCCTGGGGAATCCTTCCCTCATCCAAGCTGGGATGAAACATGCAAATGACTTAGCACAGGTCTGGTACATGGCGGATGCTAAATGGAGCTATTGTTTAATTATGGGACATATCATTATGTCCTTCCATGGCCAGTCCTGAGTTCTAATAATGCAGCCACCCTACAAACCAAGCGTCCTGATCGCAGAAGCATGAGAAGTCAGAGTGGAAAGGATCTTAGAGGACTCACAATTCACTCTTTTCATTTTACAGATGAGAAAACTGGAGTCAGGTAAGCCACATCCCGGCATAGCCCAGAAGAGCGGCAGAGGCAAGGTGGCCACCAGGGTCTCCGCCATCCTCCTGTTCCATGGCGCACAATCATGCAAAGCCCAAAATAAAGTGATGGATTACTTTGCAAAATGTAAGTTTCCAGGAGGAAAAATCATGTCCTTGTTCACAGCCAAAGGTCTCATCTATTATTTCCTGAGGTTCTCTTGGTACCTTTAGCAACACCCCAGGCACTTTGCAGAGGCAAACCAAACAACAGATGTTCCCCTCTTGCCCTTTCTCTCCTGTGGTTCCCAGAAGGATGCTTTCTTCTCCTCCACAGGCATGCATGGCCACCTCCCCACTCTGGATAATGTCCCATGATGTCCACAGAAGGGACAAGCAGATCTTTCAAATGAATGCGGCAAATCAAACAGACTTCTGTGCAGCTCAAGCCAGGGGACTTTAGGCAGACACAATCCTAACCTTCAGCGTCCTCACTGTATAATCCACATTTAGCCTCACTGTAGTTTTCCAAGGAAGAGAAGCATAAAGTCAGACTCCAACCGGTGCAATCAAAAGTTCTGTGAGGCTGTGACTCATGGCAATGCATGGCTACAACCCCTTCTGGCAGGGGGTCTCTCTTAATCCTCCATAATATTCAATCTTTCAAAAACTGCCATCTAAGCCAGGGGCGGGTATTGTGCTTGAGTGTGTGTGTGTATGTTAGAATGGAGATTGTTCATTGCTTTATTGAAAAAGAAGTAGGCAGGAGGAACAAAGACAGGCTGAAGAAAAGAATGGGGGTGGCAAACCATCCCCAGAAGCGATCGGGACGCGAAAAACTGGAAATCCCAGAGGACACACACATGCTGGCAGCAGTGACCACCCTTGGGACGCTGTGTGATACTCAAGGATGGACCACACTTTGTTTTAGGCCTTCGTTCTCCTTCTAACATCCTTTCTAAGGTATCCCACACGTGCAGAATATGAACTTATTACACCCATAAAAAAGGATCACTTGTTCTTAATTGGATGTTTGATGTAAGGATTAAAATGTATTTGTCATTCAGCCACTTTCCACTAAAACCTCAGGGTGAAATTTCTATGATATTGTAGGAAATGGAATTTTTACATACTTTACTATATGCAAGAGAGAACACAGGGGTGCAAAAGACTCTCTGAGAACTATAAGCAGCCCTTCCTGCTCCTTCCCCCACCTTTTTTTTTTTTTCATTTATTTTTATTAGTTGGAGGCTAATTACTTTACAGTATTGTAGTGGTTTTTGCCATACACTGACATGAATCAGCTATGGATTTACATGTGTTTTCCCCACCTTAAAATCAAATAAATTTCCATCATCACCCTCTTAGAGCTTAGCACCTAGACTAACGGCGCCGAATCCGGTACTACTAACTGATAGCTGTCAGAAAAGGGAGACTATGAAAACTGTATTCATAGGATCCCAGCAAAGGTGTCCCCTCCTCTCCCCCCAGCACCAGGGAGCACATGTGCTTAGGAACAAAGTCCCAGGAGTGCCTGCCTTGAGTCAACAGCCAGGCTGAAGCCAGAGCGGGTGGAATGGACCCCATCCATTTCTTTCTAAGACCAACATTGAGGTCAAAATGGCCTTTTATTTTGCCATTCACCTGGCTCCTGGTTAGGGCAGGAGTCGGAATGGACACTGGCCCCCTCCTCCATTCCCCAGCCTCCATCCCTCACCTGGGGCAGCCTCCAAACACAGGTGTGTGGACACCCACTCGTATGTCCCAGCCCCAGCCTTGGCTCCTTCTCAGCTAAAGGGTGCAAACATGGGCACAGTCAGCTTCAGGAAGATGGGACAGAAGAAGGGGACTGGGTGGGCCCGGGAAGCGGCTGCTCCCAGGTATCTAGGACATGGTCCGGGGAATTTCAGCTCTACAGACTTATTACTGCCAGGGCTGCGGCCAAGGAAGGCCAGAGTGGGGCCGTCTGAAGTTCAGGGTCCAGAGGAGGCTGTCCAGCTCCGGAGACAGCACCACCTGGCCCCCCAACGGGCCTGGGGGGGCCATTTCTGAGACCACGTGGTCCCTTGGCCAGCCTGCATGGACATTTCTGGGACCACCTGGCCCCAAACCAGCTCATGGGGTTCTTTCTGGCAATCTCCATCTCTCTCCAGGCCTCATGTTAAACTCTGATGCCCGAGGTGGTCCCACTGCTGCTGGTGTCACTTGAGGATGCCCACAGATGACATCTGTCAGGTGGGGCCCGAGATCTGTCCTGTCCTCCCCCATCCCCCATCCCCAGTAATCACTGCATCTGAAAGGTACATAAAATTCTTTAAGTCACGCCAGGGAAGAAAGGATGTGGGGAAGTGATAGGAAATTTGGATAGTTTGAAGTTAATGAGGAATAAAGGAGTCACCCCGGTACAGATTCAACCACCCATCACTTTCTCTTCTTGCCCATTTACTAATTATCATCCCCAAGCCCACGTGGGCTTTTGTTGTTCACTCAGTCGTTTCCAACTCTTTGTGACCCCATGGACTGCAGCATGCCAGGCTTCCCTGTCCATCACCATCTCCCAGAGTTTGCTCTAACTCACGTCCACTGAGTCAGATGTCATCCAACCATCTTATCCTCTGTCGTCCCCTTCTCCTCTCGCCTGTGTCCTTCAATAAAAGGCAGGCCAGATGGGCGACCAGAACCAACGGTCTTAAGGAGCCAGACATTAGAATCCAAGATTGCACCAGAAAATTCCAAGACCCCACTGTCCCATACAAACCCAGCTCTGGGGGTTGGTTGAAAGGCACCCAGAGTTAAATGCACTATTTCTTCAGAGGCCACCTCTAAACTTCTGCAAAGCAAACACAAAATAAGCCACCGTATTCCTGCATCCTCTGTTTTCACCTCATAAGACAAAGCCCAGCGCTGAGAGGCCCAGAGGCTGGGGATGACCTAAAGAGGTCCAGCGACAGTCCCCGCGGGTGGGTGCCCCCTCCAGCCGGGTCCCCAGAGGAGCTGCTGTGAGTGTGCCCAGGGCTCAGTGGTAGGGCTGCTCCCACACCGCCCCAGGGGCCCCGGGCCCTTGGTTACCTGGTTCTTCCGGGGGAGGCTGCACGCTGACCTCAGGTTCTGCAATGACTTCGGGGGGTGGCGGGGGTGGGGCTGGTGGAGCTTTGACGGGGGTCGTGGACTCCGGAGTCTCAAATGCTTCTTCAGAGTCAGAACTCCTGATGGAGAGAGACGGGGAGAAGCACAGGTTAGACAGGGGCCGGGGCTGAGGAGCAGTGCACGGCCTAATGACCCCTCCCGGGACCGCCGCAACCAGGCCCGTGGCCCAATTAAATGGTCCGGGGCCAGCCTCGAAGCAGCAGGCTTCCCAGGAGTGAATCTCATTATCACCAGCTTTGGGCCCAAATGACAGAGTCTTTGAACTCAGCTCTACTCGAAATACACATTTCTGACCTCAGTGGCAAATACAACAGTAGAATCCTTTGATTCTACTTTTGGCACGTGTTACTTGGCATCAATTTAGTCAAACTGATAGGGAAGCATTCCCAGGGACACTTGGCCTAACTGTGGTTCCAACACATTCAAAGGACCCTCACCCCATGAAGCGGAATCTCATTCGGCCTCTTCCCCTCACCCCACCACTCTCTCCCACTGCTGTTCCTTCCCCAGCGCATCACATAACTTGTTATTATAGATGTATTCACTTTCTAATCATGTTAATTATATTTCTCCTCTACTGAGCTGAAAAGGCCAAGAGGGCAGCCTTTTTTGTTTTGTGTTTCTTCATCACTGCATGCCCAAGTCCAAACCAGGAGGCAGTGAATAAACATCTGTTAAGTCAATGAAGGAAGGCATGAAAGCTGGCAAGTCGGTGGAGGATGTGTCAGACTAAAGCTCAAAGCACAGCCTGCTGATCCTAGCAGTATGAAAATTGCCCTTGCTGGTCTGCAGAGATGTCTGCTCTCAAGGATTCTTCACCCAGAGAAAGGAACCAAAACCCCACCCAGAGGAATGCCTGCCACGCCACCCTGTAACAAGGGGAAGGTGCTCACACAGCTAAAAAAGCCTTATCCTGGCTCGAGAAAATCAAGGGCAGCCAGCCCTTCTCATCACCCTGCATCCACTAGGGACTCAATTTCGAGCCAGAAAGGATGAGGCGTCCCCAAATCATTGAGCCAGGCATGTGTCCTCAGGCTGGAGGGCAGCTCCTTATGGGCTCAGGAGGCAGGGGGGAGGGAGGGTCCGTGGTCCTGGCTTCACCTCACTTTGAGGATCAGCAGGATCACCTGAGCTCACTCCCATCTCAGGATATTTTAAGTTGACCAAAATGCCTTTTATTTATTTGCAACAAGGAAGGTAATTAACAAGACAGTGGATACTTAGGATTGCTGCTGGCACAAGCGACCCAGCAGGCAATTTGGCAGAAGATATATAATCAGAGAGCGATGTGGAAGCTGAAATGCTCCTAGAGCTGAACATCCACAAGGACCAAAGGACCAGTGTCCTCCGCAGAAGTCAGCATCTTCTAAAGACCGTCCGCCAGCCAGCAGAGAGCACCACGACCAACCAACCCTCTGCAGTCAGCCAAGACAGGAGGAGAAGAGCCATCTGGTGAGTCTCCTCCAGAAAGTCTCCACTGATGTTTTTACAACTTCTTTGTCAGAGACTCACTTTATCAGAGCCAAAGACCCCCAACTCCCATCCTTCCAAGGACCCTGGCTCCTGCAACCAGCCACAGAGCTCTCCAGGGACACAAAGAGGTGAACAGAAACGTCAGAGCTGCATTCCAGGGAATCCAGTGAACTGAAGCCTGTTTACTATCAAGTTTCAGAAGACTTTATACAAATGCAACAGGGGCCATACCAACTTTTACAAACACACATTAATATTAAAAGACTTAGCTTTCATGGGGTGGGGGGCGGCACGGGAATTTAAGATCCATGCCTGGACAAACACAGATCTAGGCAGCTGAACTTTTGCAGAATCTTTATGCTGGCGTGAAAAACACAAAGAAGTCATGCAACCAAGCATCAAAGAGGAACAGTAGTTTAGATCTGCCTGGTGGGCTCTGGGTATAGACCTGGCCCCCGGTTTTGCACGCATCGGGGGCAATGTTGAAGATATGCACGCAGACAACTTGCCTCTTTCCTGGGTTTCCATGAAGGACCCGCAGACTGGAATCCCCACTGCCGGTTACCGTCGTCCACATCCACCGGGCCCATTCCACCGGGGGCCATGTCCACCAGGAGGCAAAAGCCATTTCCGCTGAAGAAAAGCTTCTGTCCCCAAACTTCCACCCCTAATTCCTTTGCCGATACGTCTGGGTTCTGGATCTCTTTACAGTCTCACGAGAAACTTAGCCGCACCACCAGCCAGGGATAGGGATGCTCTGAGCTTCCCCAGGGCCCAGCAGAGATGCAAAGGGAGCTCTTCCCACGGCTTCTGCATCCCCGGGCTCCGGCGACATGTGGCTTGAGAGCACAAAAGGCCCCTGATCTTTCCCAGCAGCATAAGCAAGCGACAGGGAGGGCCGGACGCTTGTGGATTCAAGCTGCTGAATTCCAATGAGGTCTCCCCAGCTCGCAGCTGCCCGGCGTGCACACCTGCTCAGAGGGGACCACTATTCACCAGAGCCCCATGTGGGAGGCAGTGTCAGGGGAGGGCAAGGGTACACCAGGCCCCTTGTGAGGCTCCTCACCTTGTTTACTATGAACCTTTTCTGCATCAAAACAACAGAGGCTACCAGGGACCCCTAGAATGGCATTCACTTCCAGCACCGCCTGCACGCTCTTTTCATATTTTCACACCCTCCCCCAGGAGTGGAGAGCAAGTTAATTAGAGGAGGCGGACGGCAGCTTTTTTAATTAGCTCTTTTCTCCCTATTCGGTTTCTCAGGAGGGGCTCAGAAACATTCCCAAGAGCAGGGATTTCTGCAGTCCACCCACAAAGAGCCTGGACATAAACATAAAGCAGCATTCCAGAGTCCCAATGCATGAAAGCAGCTCTCCTTGGCTGCGCAATTATTTTTTCCTACAAGAAGAACTGAAAGTACGGGAAATTATTCTGCAAAAGCACCACACGTTTTTAAAATGAAAAAGCAAGTAATTTAATTTGCCAAGAAGCTGGGTCAGAAAGAAATGTGCCATTACAGTCTGCTAAAATGACTCTAAATTACAGAGAAATGTATTTCCCAGGATATGCAAATACTAGGTTCTCCATAAGTAAATATGTAAATGAATGCAAATATACTAAGGTATATGCACTTCCATAGTGTAAAGGTGTACCTCTTAATGGCCGGGCATGAAATATAATGACTTTAATTCCCAGCATAAAGAGCATTCTAATAGCTATCATATGTTGAACCTTTTTGTTACATACATACACTGGACTAGGCCATTTGCACATTTCTCTATAATCTACAAAAATATCCCGCTACTGGAGAGCAGGCCCGTTTTGCAGATGACACAGCTATAGCTTAGAGAGGCACACTGCTTAGCCCAAGGCCACCCAGTTAGTAAACTAGGGAAGTGCAGGACTCAAATCTAGAACTATCTGCCTGTACAATCTGTGCTGTCTTACTATCATCAGTGGCTTCTAAAGCTTTCCAGCAACAAAACTATTTTTCTAAATGCATCTTATGTGAATTTCCTATGCACAGAGAAAAGTAGTATTTCACTCACTTTATAAGGTCACTGTATGACATATTCTTATAAAGTCTATAGCCTTTCCTTTCCCTTCTCCAGGGGATCTTTCCAACACAAGCATCAAACCCAGGTCCCCCCGACTGCAGGCAGAATCTTTACCAGTTGAGCCACCGGGGAAGCCCAAGAATACTGGAGTGGGTATCCAATCCCTTCTCCAGCAGATCTTCCCAACCCAGGAATCAAACCAGCGTCTCCTATGCAGGAGTGCATAGCAGGCGAATTCTTTACCAGCTTATGCAGGCGGATTCTTTACCAGCTGAGCTACCAGGGAAGCTCAACATTGAGAACAATTAAGCTATTTTTATGAACTTAAAAAATATGACCCTGGGGGTTGAGGATGCCAACTGCAGCCCTGGGTCTGTTAATTTCTCTCCTGGTTGCACGTTATTAAGAGAAGTCCTGATGAGTAACCACGAACAGCACCTGTTTTGAACAGCCTGTACTGTGATCATGGGAGATTCTTTAATAAGGCAGTCAGGGCAGGAGAGCTACCTAACCAGGCAAAATCAAATTAATCTATCAGCACAAGGCCATATGCTGGTGGCAGGCGATACACACAGCGTGTGTGTACAGAGAAGGGAAGATGGAAATGCGTAACTACTGGTGTATAGACTGCTGCCTGCTGAAATCCGAGTCTGCCAGGCTCCCTGAGGTGCTTGTAAAGTTTAAAAATATTTTCTCAAATATTTTTCTCAGCTTTTGGAAAGTCTCTATAGGACCTAAAGTCCCACCTAGCACGCTTTGGAAACCTCCTCCACACAACGAGGAACCCAGACCCTTCATAGCTGGCACCGTGCATTGAAACAGAGTATTTTATCTTTGTTTTGGTTTTTTTTTTTGGGGGGGGGGAGAGGAGTTGCCTTTATTAACTTTCACTTTGTATTGGGGTATAGCTGGTTAACAACGTTGTGATAGTTTCAGGTGAGCAATGAAGAGACTCAGCCATACATATGCATGTATCCACTCTCCCCCAAACTTCCCTTTCATCCAGGCAAAAGAGAGTATTTTATGGCAACTGTCCCCAAACCCTGAGGCCTGTTAACCCATAGTTTTGCCTTGGTTCAAACATACTACATTTTATTTCTGTAAACGACAAGAGTGAAGGAGCATAAGATAAACATCCACATAATAATAATATAACATAATATAATAAAGTTATATAATATAGACATAGTATAATACAATACTGGGCTTCCCTGGTGGCTCAGATGGTAAAGAATCTGCCTGAAATGTAGGAGACCCAGGTTCGATCCCTGGATTGGGAAAATCCCTGGAGAAGGGAATGGCATACACATGCATACAATATACACAAATATATGTGTGAATATGTGTATCTACAAATAAAATACTGGAACCTTTTAATAAAGAACTATAAATGCCATCTTCCAGCATATCATTAAGTGGCTTGTTGTTCACGCTCAGTCGTGCCCAACAACTCTTTGCAAGCCCATGGACTGCAGCACGCCAGGCTTCCCTGTCCTTCACCACCTCCCGGAGTTTGCTCAGACTCACAC